TAAACATTAGAATTTTCAAGTTCATGCTTGAATTATTTAAATCGCTCTTACAATATGAAATCACGTGTAATTAGATCGAGAAAGCTTAATCAGTTTCGGAACCAATTCGTGACCCTTAATTATCATCATAATTATAGTTCATGATTAAAATATAATGTGTGTTATGAAACTTTTTACAATAAAATCTAAACTCACTTTTAAATTATATATATATATATATATATATATATATATATATATATATATATATATATATATATATATATATATATATATATATATTATTGTAAATTGTAACTATTTGTCCCATTTTTAATAATAAAGCTATACCAAAAGCAACGTTGTCAAATAAATATACGTAAACTAATACATTAGTAACTGCTGCTTGGAACATTTTGCGAGTATTACTAAAAATCCAAGAATTTATGACAAAAGGGTCGGTGAGGAGTAATAACTCCATGGTGCTATCATTCATGGCGGATAGAAACGTAATATAGGTTATGAGATGCCTTTGTGTGAAATATTTCAAGTTGTTACAAAATATATATTCACAATAGAGTGAAATCTAAGCGTCTGGTTGTTGCGGGCTCTACCTCCGCAAAATATACTTTTTTTTTCTTTTTTCATGTAAATTTGAATAAGGTAAAAAATATGACGGTTCACCTGATGGAAAGTAGTAACCATCGCCTATAAACATAAAAAATATCACGAACACCATGAAATACGCGTTTTGCACGCGTAATGCCTCTGGTATTGCAGGTGTTCATAGGCTACGGTAACCACTTACCATCAGGTGGGCCGTATGCTTGTTTGCCACCTCAGTGGTATAAAAAAAAAAACACTATAATGCTCATGGTACGCGTCCATTGTAATTTTACTATAAATTTTTTAGTTTATGAGTTGTCTGTTACTTATAGTGTAAGCTCTGCTTAGTTTGGAATTAGATGGCGCTTTGTAACGTGTCCATTTTCATTCATTCTGTGTCCTGTTGTCCCGGAATGGAATAGGCTACACCTTCCTTTCTCGTGGGTATCGTAAGCGGCGATTAAAGGAACTTAAGATCGAGGGATGAGCAACAGCGTCTCTCTTAAACATCACCAAGGTCTAAGTACGGTTGTTAATCTGCTTGTCAAACGTGGCAACTACAGGCAAAACCTTCCAATTATGGGAGAAAACTATATTCAGTAGTGAACAATGAATGGCTGATATTGTATAATGTGCCCATTCTCATCCATTTTATGCCGTGTAGTAATAGAATCGCCCACCCCTTTGTTTTCCGTGGGTATTATAAGAGGCGACAAAGGGAATTTATTAATGGCCGAGGGATGGGCAGCAGCATCTCTTTTAAAACATCACCAAGGCCTAACTGTGGTTGCTAACTCGCCTGCCAAGCGTGGCAACTTATGGCAAAATCCTCCAAGGGAAAGGCTTATCTTTAGCAGTGGACAGTTAACGGTTGATATTATATGGTATGGAGAGAGACTTTGTACAAAAGTCGTTTGTTTGGGTACCTCTGTCTCATTCGTGTTTCAACCGTAAAGCAGTGTTTGCATGGCTGTGTTTCGGTTTGAAGGGTGGGATATGGCGTGAATTTACAGGGTACAGAAGAATAACACCCGAGTCCTCAGGAATGGCAATGCATGGAGGGTATCATGGGCTAAACAGCATACTCTGTTATGTCCATGGTACTGCTTATGTCTATAGGCGACGGTTACCATTTTCTATCAGGTGGGCCGTCAGCTTGTTTGCCATTCTAAGTTGTATAAAAAAAATATGGTATGGTACAATCTAACCAGTGGTATTTATTATTATTATTTCTTCAAAATATCTTAATATTAAACTTTGTGTGTCGGTTCTTATATTAAAGCAAATCTCTTCAAGTTCCAAGAATTCCTATTAAATTAACTGGTATTCATCGTTGTTGGAAGGTGTGTTTGTAAAGTTGATCAATTCAAAGTGCGTTATTAAATTAATTTAAGATGTAAAAAGTTTATAATTGTCAATGACCTCTGGATCACAGTCGAGTCATGTCCAAGTCTACAGAAGCATTTGGACATCGATCAAGGTCAGGAAATCCCAAATTTGAGTCTCAGCTTAAACCATCCATGTTTTCAAATTCATGTTTGCTTTGAAGGACATAATATGATGGAGGATACAAAACGGCTGTCTGATAACCCACAGAAGTCTATAATCGAGGACGACGAGTCTTTTCAGTCTTCCCGAATCCTTTTGTATCTAATAATTAGTAGCCGACCTACTAATTACTAGATAAAAAATACATTGCTAGCAATATATCCTGTCAGGTCGACTTTCTCACGGTTTCCTCTGAAAACTATCGTGCTCAATTCATCACTATGGGCTAATTGACCTATTTTTTCATCTTCACTTATCATTTCTCACTGGTGCCTCGCCAATGTATACCTATATATATAATGTATAGGGTTACTATTCTATTATTATCTATTTTAAAAATAAAAATGCCTTTTATCCCAGTATTATCACATCACTGGAGGGAAACTTTCTACAGAAAGTCGTTTGCTTGGGCATCTCTGTCCCATTCGTGTTTCTACCGTGAAGTAGTTTGGGTTACTATGTTTTGGTTTGAAGAATGAGATATAGCAGTGAATTTATAGGGTACAGAGGAACAACATATGAGTCCTCAGGAATGGCAACGTATGAGGGGTATCATGGGCGAAACAGTATACTCTGTTATGTTCATGATACTGCTCATGTCTATAGGCGACGGTTACCACTTTCCATTAGGTGGAGCGTCAGCTTGTTTGCCATTCTAAGTTGCATAAAGAAAACCGGGGCCCACTACCTCCGGTTCTTTGAAATTATTGCTTCAGTAGTTGGCATCATGGTGATATTGTTTGGCAGCAGAAGTTCCTTCTTTTCCTTTTTGATGTATGTATTTTTTAAGATGTTCATAAAACGAAATTGACCTAAATACTTGACCTCAGAGGGCGCCACCTCCACACGTGTAACATTGAACACCAGAACACTCTGCAACTACTTTAAAAACTTACTTTCCGAACAAAATCACTCTGTGTCTATATTTGAAATATGGACACGTGAACTCGCCACGTGTGTACAATGAGCTACAGCGAGGTAGATGTAAATCTACCAAACATATTTCTAGTTACACAATACTTAAAACTCTCAGTTGTAACTTCAAAACTTCCAGCAAATATTGGCTACTTCAGCTTCCGAGATTTTATAACAAACAGTCGGGTTCGGAAATATAAAAGTTCACAAGAAATGGGATAATAAAATTTCAATCCATTGTAAAATGTGTTTTGAACAAATGAAATTAGTAAATTCCGAGGTAAAAACGGATTTTATCACAGCGCAACTTCTTGGAATTGCTTTTCCATTGAATTTTCAAATTTCCTATAATAAAATTTAAGTGTTAATTATTGAAATGTCAATAATAAAATAGGTTTATTGAAAACACGCAATTGTGTTTAAATAAAAACACGTCCTATTATCAAATAAATACAAAATACTAAAATATATTACTCCTTTTGCTTTTTGATTAATAATATGGATTCTTCACTTCTCTGCAATGGCAAAAAAGAAAGAAAAAGAATCTAAAAAGTAATCAGTTTATTTATAGATTTATTAATAGATCGTTGTGTAGTTTATAGAATAGGCTATTCTTTCTCGTAAGTGTCGTGAGGTGTCGTGCCTTCTTAGAGGCCACTAAGAAGGGCGAGGAATTGGCAGCAGCGTCCCTCTTAAAACATCCCCAAAGCCTAACTGCGGTTGCTAATTCACTAGCCAACTGTGGCAAGTACTGGCAAAACCTTCCAAAGGAAAGGCTTATGCTCAGCAGTGGACAGTTAAAGGCTGATATGTTGGATCACCTATTAATTAACCTTCTACCTATGAATTTGAATATCTATCTATCTATCTATCCATTTAAGAGCTGCTCTCTTGTCGGTGGAGCTCTTGCCACTCACTACGATTTTCAGCGAGTCTCTTCACCTCTTGATACGACACGACACCAACTCCTTCCTTGATCTGCCTGATGTAACTATGTCTCGGTCTCCCTCTTCCCCTTCTTCCTTCTATCTTACCTTCTATTATAATGTTCATAAGTTCGTCGTGTCGTATCAAGAATTTGAATAAAATGTTTTTTTTTTAGTAATCTACTACACCACTTAAAGAATAATACAAAACGATGTTACATTTATAGAACACAAAGGCGGTCTTATCACTAATGCGATCTCTTCCAAACAATCTTTGGGCAGAGAAAAAAAGAAAAAGACAGTAGGTATTTGGTGCAAGAAGTGTATGTAATAAAAATATATGCTCTCTCAACGCTTATGTTAATAAAACATGCAAATAATCATATGCATTCCTTATATGTATGCATCTAATTATATAGATAGATAGATACTCTTTATTGTTTTATCCATAAGATTACAATAGGAAATTTATTATAAATTCAAACAATTAATCTTATCGCTAAGAGCGATCTCTTTCAGGTAACCTTTGGATGGAGAAGAGTAATTATACACAATTTGACTGTTTATATTTAATTTATATTTAATGTTTATTAAATAAAAGAGTTATTATATGTGCTATCTACTCATTTGTCTGTCAGTGGTAAGTAAGTCTGTGGTAAGTCAAATAGATAATTAATTAGACGACAAAATTTTCGAATTTCGAATGATACCATGTGTAGTCGCTGTATTGAGGACTTTTTTTTAATTTAAGGGTTGCTACAAATCTGTATAGCATTATAGTCAGTTGCACAATACTAAAAAATAAGTAAAAATAAACATTGCTCAGTATTTAAATTATACTGTTTATATAATGACATAGACATTATCTTATGTCGACACAGTTGTGGCCAATTTAATGTGATCTCCCATTATTTTGGAGCGAATTAAATTTCGTAACATCGCTAGGTGTCTTATTAATATGGTTGATTCAATTTATGGCTCGAACTATGTCGGATACTTTAAGAAAGATATTTTAGTTGTGAAAATAATTTACAATGATAAAGTAGTGACAGTTTGGTGGTAAAATTTAATCTCTTTCTATTCGGTGGCAAAATTAAAACTTCTTTTTACTATTTATTTTTAATTTTACATATAAATTAAAAGTAAAATAAATTCATAAATTAGATAAAATTATAGGTAATTTAACATTAAATCAAGATCATAATAAATAGTAATTAATGTTGAAATTTCGATGTGCCAAGTGATTAGTAATAATGAGTGAAGCAAATTTATCTGCCTTGGCTGACGATGGTGAGTTGAACAGTAATTAAATAGTAGGCTTTCATTAATAATTATATGCAAAAGTATAATAAATTAAATGCAATGAAAAAATATAATTAAATGCAGCAAGTATCCTGGGCACCCTACCAGCTGGCAGTGATCTCAAAAAAAAATTTTTATTGTAATTTTTTTTTATTTTTAAATTAATGATCTCTGATTATATATCTAGGTTATTTATATATCAATATAATTAACATGTATCACTAACAAATTGGGCCTTATGTTGTCTAAATAAATAAATGAACCTTTCTTGAAAATAATTTCCAAATTATATGTCGTTATAGACGTAATTGTAAAATATGAAAATCATATAAGCGAGATAACTATTCCATTATCGTCCATTAAAAATAAATATTTTGATTGAAAAAAATTCTAAACGGGCGAGATTTGAGTTAGGTCGGAGAGAGTCATGTCGGAGCTAGTGCTTTTGCGTCGTGTTTTAAACTCAATACGTGTATATTTTTAAATTATGAGATTATAATGTTTACGTAACATCTCGTTACGTCGATGCGTGGTAGGTTTAATTTCATTTTAAGGCAAGATTACTAAGTTTACTTGTCGATATGAACATTGTTGCAGTTAAATTCGATGTTTATATATCATCATCGGCATATCAGCCTTAAACTGTCCATTGTTGAACATAAGCCATCCCTTGGGGGTTTAGCCAGTAGTTGTTTGGCAGGCGGATTGGCCACCGCAGTCAGGCTTCGGGGTTTTACCACTTTTTTACAAAGAGATTTTTATACAAAGTCTCCCTCTGGTAAATGTTTTAAGAGGGACGCTGCTGCCCATCTCACGCCCTTCCTTAGTTCTCTTACGACACCTACGAAAGGAATGGCCTATTCTATGCCGTGATTACACGACCAATGAGCATATATATATATATATATATATATATATATATATATATATATATATATATATATATATATATATATATATATATATAAGGGGTATTTAAATCATATTTGCCATCATAGTAGCACATATACCTACCTAGCCAGGAAGATCATTCTACAATTTGAGCGTTCGCAAGAGTAAGTTCCTCTAAAACTGCATTATGCATGACTATTTCAGTTCTAGGGTGCAAGCATGAATTTTCTTCCGATAGCGAGCGGTGTGGTGTTATCAAGAAAAATAAAGGGGGTTGCCTACAGCTGCTTGTGCCATGTTTTTTGGATCTATTCATTATTGCTTTTGCCTTTTCCCGTTCATTTGGGGTTGGCATAGTATATCTTCTTCCTCGATAAATCTCTGTCAACCGTCCTTTGTATCATTATTTGCTGTAAATCCTTATTATAGTATATAAATCTTGATAAAAACTCTTCGAAATTTCTTATTTTTATACTGTCATCATTATATATAGGTACGTTCCATTTCAATCCGGTAAGAACTAGGCTTACGTGGAAGGGTTTTTGGTAGGAGTCAACAAAAATGCAAGTTAATGAGTGGAATTTGGAACACATCATCATCATCATCATGTTATCAGCTGTTAACTGTCCACTGCTGAACATAAACCTACCCCAGAAGGGGAGTTTTGTCAGTAGTTACCACGCTTGGCAGGCAGGTTGACAACCGCAGTTAGGCTTTTAGTGATGTTTTAAGAGAGATGCTGCTGTACATCCCTCTACCATTAAGTTCCCTTAGTCGCCTCCACGACACTTACGGGAAAGGATGGGGTGGCCTATTCTATGCCGGGACCTCCATGGCGAACTTAGCACATAGGACATTTTATATATTAAAATATACGCGGTTGAAGCCATGAGTTATACAGCTAGTTTGTAAAATATCTATTATGAAATATCTACGAAGCTGTACATATCTCTAACCGGTGATCATCACTTTCTGTGATGTAGGCCGTCAGCTTATTTGCCATTCTATGTATCATAAAAAAAGAGTCTCAGATAGTATATAACATAAGATATATATTTGACAACAAAAGTCATAGAAATCCCTTAGTTATTTATGCCCAAACCGTAAATACAGCGAAGGTTAACTTCTTAATGGAGGTACATAAAGCTGATCATTTGGATTTTAGCACTACCATAATTTACGCACTCAAACATTTATGACTGAACTCCTCGCAAACAAAAACAGTCGTTTCACTACAATATAATATTTTTTTTTATTTCACTTGATGGTAGAATAGTCAACTCATTCCGTTAGGCTTACCTGAGGGAAGCACCTGTATAGCTAGTAGATAGATAGACACTCTTTATTGATTCCTCCAAAAGATTACGGTTATAAATGTATTATAAATAGAAATTACGGTTGTCTTGAAAAGATTGCTCTCAGCAATAAGACCGCCTTACTGTACTTATACAATTGTATCGTTGTGTTTCTAAATTGCCTTGCTTATTTCCTATATTGTATAATGCAAATAAAGTATACTCATTCATTCATTCAAATAATTACAAGATTATACTGAAAAAATAATAGGAGCTTCTAAAAATATCTCTTCCAGGTAATTTTATTATATTGAGGAGTAATTTTAAACATCTCGATCGGACGGATGAAATTCTTTTGATTTTTAGATAAATACAGAAATACAATTAATATACAGTGGTACCTCGATACACGAGTGCCCTAATATACGATTATTTTGAGATACAAGCCATCGAGCGACAAATATTTTGCTTTGAGATGAGAACAAGATTTGAGATACGAAGAATCGCACACTACACTGTTTCACACGACCCCATCATGCGGGTAGATGTTGGTATCTAACAGTTTCTCCCATCTCAGACTAACAACAACTAAGGTGGTTTTTGGGAGTACAAATTAATGGCATTTCAATTAATTTTAATGGAGAAAATTGCTTTGAGAATCGAGCAATTTGACATACGAGCAAGGTTATGGAAAGAATTAAACTCGTATGTCGAGGTACTATTGTACTAATATGAATATATTAATGTACATTTTAAATTACTGATGAATATTTAACATATACATACATAGGTATATATGTACAGATATGTACATATATCTACATGTGCATTATACTAAATTGTTTGCATAATAGTCGTCTGAACATGCACTTCAGTTCCACTTGCGTTTTTGTCATCAAGCGGCTGTGCACAGCTGTGATGAGTCCTCAGGAATGCTTGTGGTGTGTCATGAGCAGCTCAGAGTGTTTTGTGATATTTATTTATTTATTTATACTTTTGCATTAAAATATGTCTACAGGGCGGACTTAATGCCTGATGGCGTTCTCTACCAGTCAACTGTTACGCTAAACATAGAGAGTAAATGGCGGTGCATTGGTTTAACAACACATGATATCTATGGCGCTATTCATATCTATAGGCGATGGTAAACGGTTTTCATCTGTTGTTTTACAATTTCTGTTTATTTATTAAGTTAAATAAAAAGATACATATTTCATAATATAATAAATATATTAACTGCCGCAAGGAAATATAGTTCTTGAGTTAAATTGTGAGCAGTTAGCTTACTGGTTCAAATTAATTGAGACCAAATCCAAAATATATCTAATATCGCAGTACCACTATGGACATGGTTTTGTTGACGGTATAAATCGGCCACTGCTACTGGAGTTGTGATGAAATGCAATAGAGAACCCATGGTCCCTGTACTAAGACAAAGAGATGGACCTTGGGGTTTTAGTCGTTAGAAATCTGCTAGTATCCATTCGTATCACCGCAATGAGTGGGTCTCCATCATGCATTTCCTTATGTTAAGAGGATTTTGGTAAACAAATAAACTCAATCTCACGAGAATCACGCTACTCTCGTAGTGTGATTTCGAGATTGAGTTTTAAAATTGTCATGACACAAAACATTCTTGTAAGACATAATAGGGCGTAAATAACTATACCTGTTAAATTAGTCTACCTATATCTATGTGCAAGTATGTTTTACCGTGAGCTTGAATTACATATTTTTGTGAACTACATAGGTCTTATATTGTGGAAGTCCATATTACTGTTATTTGATTACAATTATTTTGTTTAATTCCGCTACCATTCGTATGTGTGTGACTGCCAACACTCGACGATTGACCACTACTATTATTACCAGAAGTTCCACAACATTCTACATTAAGTATTAATCTTCAACTGCCATTTTACTCACGCACGTGTTGTGATACGTATTTCACAGTGTTTTATTACTCGCAGTTTAGTATCTAATGGTTAACACAAGACTCCGAGCAGGGATCTAATAATTTATCTAAAGATACCTAGTTTAGAGGTGAAATACGTGTCGAAAAACGTGCGTGAAAAAAATGCCACTCGGAAATTGATGGCTAATATGAAAGGTTGTGGAATTTAAAATAGTAATAGTGGCGATCAATCTTCGAGTGTTGGCAGTTACACATATAATAATAGTAGCGGAATTAAACAAAATAATTCTAAACAAAAACTTGAATTTTATTACAATGTCTGACTCATTGTGTAATTAAAAAATAAAACAAAAAACTTATTACTTTTTGTTAAAATTAATTATTAATTAAGTATAATTATCATAAAAACATTATAATGCTGTTAGTTCTTATTCTGCAATACATTATTTGTTGCGATTTCCTGTAAATTGAGGAATACTCTAAAAAACGTATAATATCATAAAACCGTAACAAATTATTAGTATTAGAAGTGTTTAAAATAAATATATAAATATGAAAAGAATTGTCAAAAAGAGAAACCTTATATTGCACGTGTAGTTAATGTAACTTCAATTTGATCGCAATTAGATTACGTAAAAAAAAACATGCTTTAAGCATGACATTTCAGAATCGTTTTACTACGTCGTCTAAAGTTAATACAGCTCTCATGTGTTTTCACTCTCAAATAAGGTTTATTGCTCTCTTATCAGATGGATGATATGCATCATTTTGCGTCATACCATCATAAAAAAAGGTCTATATTTATCAGCTTTTAATATTTGTTAGATAAACAATTACTACTATATCGATAAAGATAGATAAAACATTATCAAAGACGGAAATTTAAAATGTATACAAAATTTGAGGCTGCAGCTACGTAATGATAGAATGTTAATGTTAGCGTATTAAGTTTTAATTTTAGGTCACCTACGATTTATTAATAAATTGATTTTTTATATGCTTTGTGGAACAATCGATTGTAATTAAATTCCTATTATAAAATCGTTAAGCGCAGTTTATAGCAAATACAATATAAATGTGGTAGTGTCTCTAATTGACAATTTGATATTTAATCAATTGAAAAAAAATATTGTTATAATTATAATTTTTAAATTAAATATACTGCAGTTATTGGTGTAAATTGTAAATATGAACATTGAAGGTAACTATTGTTTTCATTCTCAAATTTAATTAATAAAATTTTAAAATGTAATAACTTGGTAATAATACGAATTAAGTGTTGTGAACTTGGTTTGAAAAATTTTGTAATTTCGAGAATCTATTGACAAACGATGATTTTTTGACATCTCAGAAACTAATGAAAATAAATGTGTCGAATACAACGATAATGTGTATTGTGATTTCATCATATGACTGAGTATAATTAAGACATTAAGATTAAAACATTAAGAATAAATAACAACCTTTAACTGTCCACTGTTGAACATAAACCGGGTTTTGGGGGGTTTAGCCAGTAGTTGCTTGACAGGCGGATTGGCAACCGCAGTCAGGTTTTAGAGATGTTTTATGAGGGCTACTGCTGCCCATCCCTCGCCCTCCCTTTGTCGGCTTTTACGACACCCATGGGAAAGGAAAGGTTGGCCTATTCTATGCCGGGACACACGGCAATAAATAACTAGTGTTATTTACGGAAAGTATAGTATGTCATAATAGTGTTAATTAGCGTCATATCTAGGTTTCATTTTCGGTATGCTGCGTTAAATGATAACAAAAACGCTGTAGTCTCCTCTTCTAGTTGAAACGTCGAGTGAAATAAATACTTTACTTGCCATATCATGTTAACAATATATTTAATGAAAAAATTTAAAACTAACTACAGTGCTGTGTTTTATACATTACAATGTTAATTAGATGAAAGGATAAAGTAAAATTTAATACGTTATGCATATGATCCGGGACAAATTAAATTATTGTAAAAAATTTAAAAGTTATTCGAATTAGTAACAAAAATCAAATTTCTTTACAATATAACTTCCCATCTTGAATCTGTAGCACGTATCATATAATTTGGCAATTCTGCAAATTGTCGAAAACTCTCCGATCCGATACTGCTCAAGAGCTGGAATTTAGAGTCTTTTTTTGAAATGTATTCCTCTTTATATTTATTAAACCAATCATTGCTTCCAAATTGGTATTTATCTTTAAAATCCCTCTTAAATAGATCAGACCATAATCGTTCATTATCGATGACTACATGGATCCTTTTACAAGATTTAGAAAGTGCAATCACATCTTTTATTGGCAGTTTCATAATTATCTGATTCAAAACATCTTCAGGCAGACCCGATAGATTTGTACTTGGATAGTTGTGGTAGTTGAGTATACCACTTTTGATTGGATTCAATATTTTATCTTTAAACGTAAGAACCAATTCGTCCAAGTTGTAAAAGCTGGCTGGAATCCCCAAATCAGAACTAATTACGTAACTGCTAAGTTTCAAACAGATAGAATAAGTTTCTTTGTACAACTGGGGGATAGTTGCGTTGATTAAAATGGCATCGTTCAATGGACACGCAATTATCTTCAATGGAGTATCATTGAATCCATTTAATACGAATACAGATTCATACAAACCGATGTCTTTTTGTCTCATGCACAATAAATAGTCTTCTATGCTAATAACTTTCTTTCCAATTGCTTCTAATTGTATAAAATCATTTTCTTTCATTATAACAAGTAATAATGCGAATAACATGTCTTGTTTCAAATTGTTCGGTTTTATTAACGTTTCCATAATTTTCTTTATTGTTTGACAATACTGTTCGTGTATATTCCAACTTGTGTTTATTTTTTCCATCGTTCTCTATTGTAATGCTTCTCGTATATTCATGCATAAATTATGTGCTATATGCTAAATGATAAATTACATTATTAATATATAATGTCAACTTGACATCTGTTTCTTTTCAAACTAATTAAACGAGTTATCATATTTATTGCAAAAAAGAAGCATACAGTTTCACTATGAATATATACTAACATAAAAACTTAATCGTTAAAAAAATGCTATTAGGTAGACATTATTAAAGATTTTGTGTGACAATATAACTTATGGATATTATTTTAAAAAAAAGATTACTTTTTACAAATTAATTTGGAATATTTATAAGTCATATTAAATGTTAATCTAAATATATGAAAAGAGAAAGTTAGTGATCAAAGCATAGAAGTTGTTGGAGCCACAAGCTGGATACTTTATATATATATAGAATAGTTTTCAACCAAGTTCAAAAAAGGAGAAGGTTCTGAATTTGGCTGTATTTTTTATATTTATTACCACAGGTACAAACTGATTTCGAAAATTCTTTTTTATCTGAAAATGAAATTCCCAAAGAAATTTTAGTAAATTCGGTTCCGTTGTTTAGTTTTTAAATCTTATTAAAAAATTAAAAGGTTTGTCACAGTTGAAGTCGTTATTTTACGAATACACACACATATACACATGTATATCTATATATCTTTGTATATGTTTGTTTATACGTATATAATAGTGCGCCACCTTTCTCAATGTCCTCTACCCAAAGGTTGTCTGGAAGAGGTTGCTTAGCGATAAGGCCACCTTTTGTATCATTTCTCATTACTGTTAAACGCTATTACTATTCTATAAATGGTGCAATAAAATACATAAATATATATAATTTAGATGCATACTATATCTCTGTATCTTTCCTGGTATTAAATAAAAAACATTGAATCATAAACTACACATAACCCGCTGTGGTTTTTAGATAATAGTTTTCCATGGAATGCAGAAAACGCCAAAATTAGATTTTTGTTGTTGAATAAATAGTCTAAGAAAAGTATTATTCACACTGTGAACCCAAGACGAAAAGTGGAACTCAAACTATTATCCAAATGATAAATCATAAGTGAATGTCCGAGGAATTGTGTATACCTCCGGACGGCAATGATGAATTCATAAAACTAATGTCTATTCTAAGTCAACAGTCGAGACCGAGTTGATTAATGTCCCTAGAAGATTAATGTCTCAGAAAATTTGATCATAATAATCCAATTTATGTTGTAGTAATGTGATGTTTTTGGCAAAACTAACGAAACTTGAGAAATTTAATCAGTTTAACATATTCTCTTTTCATTAATACTATTTACCAGAGGGAGACTTTGTACAAATATCGATTGCTTGGGTACCTCTGTCCCATTCATGTTTCAACCGTGAAGCAGTTGTGTTTGCATGGCTGTATTTCGATTTGAAGGGTGGGATATGGCGTGAATTTACTGGGTACAGAGGAATAACATCAGAGTCCTCGGGAATGGCAACGCATGGGGGGTATCATGGGCGAAACAGTACACTCTGTTATGTCCATGGTACTGCTCATGTCTATATGCGACGGTTAACACTTTTCATCAGGTGGGCCGTCAGCTTGTTTGCCATTCTAAGTTGTATAAAAAAATAAAATAAAATAAAATAAACCAGTTTAATAATTAGGTTAAATGTTAAGAGGGCCTTTTATAATAATGACGAGAAAGATGAGGTTACATATTTACTTGATATGAAGAAAAGAGGCAACAATATTTTAGAACATTGTTGTAAAAAAAAAAAACATGTAGTAAATAGCTGTAGGGAATCAGCATGCAATGAATTATTAACTAATACATATATATGCGCAGAAATGGAATCATATAGTTATTAAAAAGGGCGTATTTGCGTCTCAAATTTTGGACTAAAGTACAAAAGAGCGATAAAGTAATTTATAACAAAGATAGATTGAGTAAAGATATTTAAAATAACCGCATCTGGGACTTGATATCAATAAAACGGTTTCTCGTTAATGGCTTACCGTGTACTACTTTCAATGCAGTAGCTAGGATTAGTTTTCAAATAAAGACACTTGAGTCGTATCTTACTATCTATGTGGCATTTTTTTTAATGGGTGATAATGGCATAGTTATCCCACCCGCGCTATCGGTATACATCGGCGAGGCACCAGTGAAGGATGACAGGTGATGATGAAAGCAGCTCAGTTAGCCCGTCGTGACGAATTCAATAAGAATTGTTCACGATGGTTTCCAGGGGAAACCACGTGGAGGTTCTATGTGGCATTAGTGTATTTAATTTGGATTAAAATTTATTTACAGTTTTTGTTCTCCCTGCTTTATATGATGTTATTTAAATAGCTTTATTAACCAAAATTTGTTGTGTGTGCCTTGGCGTAGAATGGGTCACCTCTTCCTCTACCGTGGGTGTCGTAAGAGGCGACTAAGGGAGGCCGAGGGATGGGCAGCAGCGTCCCTTTTAAAACATCTCTAAAAGCCTAACTGCAGTTGCCAACCTGCCTGCCAAGCGTGGCTACTACTGGCAGAACTTCCCTTATGGGGATGACTTATGTCTAGCAGTGGACAGTTAACGGTTGAAATAATAATTGATTAAAAGAAAATATGGTACAAAAAGGCGGGCTTAATGCTAGTTGTGTTAAGTTAACCTTTGGGATTAATAGCATTAAGCTAGTTGCTTTAAGTCAATCTTTGGGATGGAAAATGAATCACAAATGCGGTACTTTATTTTTATGCTGGCTTTATTTCACAATGTTGATGGTTTATCCATCAATCTAATATATAATTATTAGAATCAAAACAAATAAATAATTTTTATGTATGCTTCCATGTACTGTATTTTACGACTACCCTTCAAACCAAAACGGTCATAAAAGTACAATTACTTGGCGGTAAAAATACAAGTGTGATGAAAGAATATGTTATTACGCAAAATATAATTATGCAAAAGTATTTAAAAAAGACTCAGAAAAAAAAGATATGTTTATTTTAGCGTTTGTAGATATATTTGGACGAGTTTTGGATATTGATGTAATTTTTAATTATCTATTAGAATTTATATATTTTTGTATTGTATTGCAAAATCTTTATAGTACATAATTCACATTGAATACTGATAAATGATTTAATATACAATGGCGGACTTATCCCATAAAGGGATCTCTTATTTATTAATTTTGTGTGTGTGTGTGTGTGTGTGTGTGTGTGTGTGTGTGTGTGTGTGTGTGTGTGTGTGTGCGTGCTTGCGTGCGTGCGTGCGTGCGTGCGTGCGTGCGTGCGTGCGTGCGTGCGTGCGTACGTGCGTATATGTGTGTGTGTGTGTATGGGCTGATCACGACAACCGATAACCGATGGGGAAAAAAGGTTCTTGAGTGGCAATTCCGTATGGCCAAACGCAGTGTAGGACGACACTAGATGGAGTGATGACTTCAAATATATTGCAGGGAGTCAGTGGATACAGGTGGCTCAAGGCCGTTCCTTATGGCAGTCTGGGGAAGACTTATGTCTTATGGCTTATGGAAATAATGATGACGATGACAATTCTAATATAGTATCTTTAACGTTGATATTTTTGTTTTAACGTTGGAAGACATTGTCTGTCAGAGAGAATATTAAGTCATTTTTCTACAAATTAATAATAGCAAAGAAAGGTCAAAGTATTTCAAGAACTACTTTAATTATGTCTGTACATTTACATTCAGTTGATTTATTGCTCACTAAGTAATGAATATTATGACCTAATGGTGTACTATAATAACTTATAAACTTCAAAGGTCATAATTTGGAGGAATTGCTGATATTAAAAACTTTGTACAATAAAAGATACAGTCTACGTCTTGTTGCGTTAAATTAAAATATATCCTACGAAATATGTGCATGTTATATTGTCGAGTTTTCCTTTCACTACAATAGTGATTGGGGTCTGAAAGGTAGGAATTGCCAGTAAAAAGGATTAACAGACTTATTACCAGCCATTTATTTTATCTATTCTATCTCCTTGTGGTTCTTTTTGGAAACTATCATAATTATACACATAAATGTAAAATTAATTTGTATAAAAATGAAAATAATTGGAAACAGTAACTTGAGTTTCTTGTGGGTCCTACTAAACAGATAACAACATTCCGAACCCAGCAATAGAATCTTAAATAATGAAGATTTAATAGAGCTTGTAAAAAAGGCTATTTGAATAAACACTATTTTTATTTTATTATATTAATTTCTGATTATTTCTCATTATGGGGTTATTGGCCTGACTTTATGTTTTCCTATCATCTTTCATTAAATTGATATAAATATATAAGCGTGGGTGGGGTTTCCATTCTGTTGTCATCGCCTTGATACATCGATCGAGGAGTTTGGAGCAAATTTTTTGTAAGTAAAATTTTTAATGAAAAATTTTACTACCATATGCATTAAGTTGTAAATATTTATCATTATAAACAAAAATACATAAATAATAACATAGCATATTAATAAAATAATGAACATATTGAATTTTGAAATGAGATTTCAGACGTGTATAAATTGAATGCAAAATATTTAAACTAGAAAGTGTGCTCGTATTTATACAAGAAATAAGAGATTTATTTATTTTATTGTTGACCAATAACTATCATGTTTTATATTGTATTCTATTTATTTGTGTAAGCTTTACTTATGTCATAAATTAGGGAATGTCTAACTAGTTTTGAAATCAATAGGAGCCCTTATTTATGAGCGCGGTTCACGGCTGTGTCACGAACACCACCGTGCAACCAGCGTGCTGTTCGAATTAATGAAAACTGTTTCCTTTAGAGAAAAATACAGATTATAAAGATTAACAATATGTACACAAACAAAATTAATAATTAATTATATACACTTAATTATATCACAGCAAGATAAAGAGGTAACAAAGAGCGGTCTTAGCGTTTGTTATTTTATATATTTATATAATATATCTATTTTATATGTATTATATAATACATCTATTTTATATTAATTTTAAAAATAAACAGAGTTTGGAGGCACGAAACTCTGTCAAACTATTTATAATTACTATTCTCCATTCAAAGGTTGCCTGAAAGAGATCGCTCTTAGCGATAAAGTCACCTATTGTTTTCTTAGTGTAATATTTTCTCGTAATTGTTTGTATTTATAATAACTTTACTATTGTAATCTTATGAAGGAAACAATAAAGAGTATCTATCTATTTATTATTTATTTCACAGATCGAGACTATGTAGACGCGAAAGAAGAAACTCCAATAAAACAGATAAACGACGCCCTCAGAGCTTGTGAATTTGGTCGGTTCAACATTCAATTGTTATTGACGACTCTAACAGGTTTCATAGCTGGAGTTGCTGTCAGTAACACCACATCGTATCTGTTACCAAGTGCCGAATGTGATCTCAATATGAGCCTGCTGCAGAAAGGATTTTTGAATGCTGCACCTTATTCAGGTATTTATTTTTTTCTTTTGGATCTTTAACCGCAACTTCGTGTGAGCGGGATTTATTAACTGACCAGGATAAAAAGTGACCTATGATTTTTGATAGTACATGTGTATATGTAAATTTTATAGTGATCGGTTAAGTCGTTTAGCCTTTAGTTTAGTTTAAGTTAACAAACAAACAAACAGACTTGTAGGTTTACACTATAAGTAAGAATTTTCATTCGGTCGGTTTCAAAATGGAACACTCCATTTTGATTAATCATTTCGATTGTATTTTTAACCAACTTTAAAAGAGGTGAGATTTTTATTTCAATGATATTTTTTTTAAATTAATTACCTTATAACTCAGTTATAAACCGTTTAGGAAAATTCTTTTACATATAAAAAGGATATAATTTTAAATTGATTTTATAGAAATTTTAACAAAATCAGTTAAGTAGTTTAATTTTTAAATATAATTAACTGGATTTTTTAAATTAAAGTAATTTATTTTCGCATGATTGAAATAGATGTTTTTTTTTCTTAAATTATGTGTGTGTTAAGACAAATAATTCAAGAAAAAGGTTTTCGATAATTTTAAATCAATTTTAGATTCTATTTCCAATTTTTGTTATATTTGAATTCCTTAAATTCTAGAATTTATTACATTATACAATTTAAATTTTGTCGTGATTGTTATAACATTTTGAAACTTAGTACAGTTTAAATAAGCCTAACATAGTGAAGTGATAATTTGTTCAATATATACAATCCAATTATTATTTTAACAAGTATAGCAGTAGAGCAAAGTGTAAACTTTGCAGACGTATTTACAGACAATGGGAAGGTTACTTCTATTTTACATAAATCAGTATTAATTTTAACTTTTACAAATACATATATTATACAAAAAATAAAACGTTCATACGTTGCTTTACATATTTATTTATTTAAACTTTAATGCGCAGAAAACTATGTAAATATGGCGTTCTTAACACCGAACGGTATTAAGTTAACCATTGGACAAACCGAGAAATAAGTAGGCGCATTATAAATTGAGAAAATATAAAAAGTAATACTTAATATATTCATATAACATAAACATATTATTAGACTAATATAAACATACACATAATATATTAAATAAATAAATAAATACATACATAAATGGACGTGTTAGTCCCGGCAAAGAATAGGCCACCGCTTCTTTACCCGTGGGTGTGTAAGAGGCGATTATAGGAGGTCGAGGGATGGGCAGCAGCGTCTCTTTTAAAACATCTCTAAAGCCTAATTACGGTTGCCAATCCGCCTGCCAAGCGTGACAACTACTGGCAAAACCCCCAGGGAGGAGGCTTTTGTTCAGCAGTGGACAATTATAGACTGATATGATGATACATACATAAATAAATACATAAATTATACTATTACAAACAATTAACTGTATTAGAAGAGCAAATTAAACGATCTACGACTCAAACATTTAATGAGTAACCAGCAAGATTAAGTTCATATCTATATTACATATGTATAATTAAATTGTAAAATATGAAATATTTAAGAATAAATAAAGCTTGTGTCCTTAAAAAAACCGCTTCAATTGTGACAAAACCAGTTATTTCGATTATAAACTAAACTATTAATAAATTTAAATTTTTGCTGATTAGAAAGCCATTTCTGTGTCAGGTCGAGAATTTTTCACCTTACCCTCATACAAATACATAGTACTATAGTTCTTGTATGTTGGAAGGAACCGGCTTACAAAACACAAGTTACCCTAATTTCTATGCCAGGCCAAAAAATATGTAACAGTGAAATTCAAATAAACTTATTACCACGCATTTTAAGTCGCAGGCAAAAGTTGGTGATAGTATGAAATGTTATTAAAATAATAAGAATGTTGATATAGCTGTTATTGAAGTCGAATCGAAGAACAACAAAGATGCTCGTGGTCATAATTATGGGATATAATTCATGGGTATTGTTTTGTAGCTGAAGTTTACCACTAAACAACAATTCAGGTGCTCCGTCTCTTTGTTTGCCGTCTCTAAACGCGTAAACGTTCCGTTTGACAAATATTTGCAACGCTTCATTCATAACAGGCGTTACGTATTTGTTCATTAAATTTTCGTTTCGGTAAACATTTATAACAATAGTTATTTGCGTGTAGATAAGACATTTATTTAGTTTTTCTTTTATTTATTTTTTTAGATTTATATGTTACTCTCTATTTTCATTTAAGAGTTTCCTGTTATCGTTGTAGCTCTATTTTAGGCCATATCATTGACCTCTCTATACGACATGACACCTAGTGTTTCTTTTATTTATAAGATGACCAACTATACTCATTTACTGAGTTTTGTACTCTTTTTTCACAAACCGTACTCTTTTCAAATCCTGTACTCTGAAAGTACTCAACTCTGAAACTCTGAAAGTATTTTTTTTTTTACAACACAGGGGGCAAACGAGCATGCGGCACACCTGATGGTAAGTGACTACCGCCGCCCATGATCACCCACAACACCAGCGGCATTGCAGGTGTGCTGCCGGCCTTTTAAAAAGGAATATACTCTTTTCTTGAAGGTTATGTTGTCGTATCGGTTCGGAAATACTGCTGCTGGAAGTTGATTCCAAAGAATGGTTGTGCGTGGAAGAAAGTGCCTTGAAAAACGCACGGTGGAAGACCGCCACTCGTCCAGATGATTGGGATGAAACTTTAGTTTGTGGCGGGTTGTACGGTGGTGAAAATCAGCAGCAGGTATCAATCCGAACAATTCCTCAGAACACTCCCCATGATAAATTCGGTAGAAGATGCACAGAGATGCAACATCTCTGCGCAGTTTCAGTGGGTCGAGTCGGACAGTAAGGCGTTGACTATCGATAATTCGAGCCGCCCGACTTTGAATGCGGTCTAACGGAAGGAGTTGGTACTGTGGCGCTCCTGCCCACAGGTGAGAACAGTATTCCATATGCGGCCTGACTTGGGCTTTATATAATTTCAGGCGGTGTTCTGGCATGAAATATCGTCTCACCCTATTGAGTACTCCTAACTTTTTGGAAGCTATCTTAGCCTTCTCCTCCAGATGACCGCAAAACTGGACGTCGCAAGATATATCAACGCCCAGAATTCCTAGACTCGACTTTTTATCAAGGGAAGTGCCCTGAAAGTGAGGAGATACGACAAACGGCGTCTTTTTTGCGGTAAACGCGCAGACTTGTGTCTTTTTGGGGTTAAATTGGACAAGATTTTGTTCACCCCAGATCGAAACTTGATGGAGTGAAGTTTCGATTTCAGACACAAGTCTATTCCGGCACTCATCGGTATGTGCCCGCGAGATCTTTGCATGACCGGTATATAATGTATCTCCTGTACTGTCGTCTGCATAGCAATGAATATTACTTATCTGTAACATATCATTGATATGCAGAAGAAACAGAGTCGGAGATAGTACACAGCCTTGCGGGACACCAGCATTCAAAGGTTTTAAATCAGAGCATGCTCCGTCGACTACGACCTTAATGCTACGTTCCTTGAGAAAACTGGCGACCCAAATGCACAGTCTCGCAGGCAACCCAAATGAAGGTAGCTTTGAAAGCAGCGCTCTATGCCACACCCGATCAAAGGCCTTCGCGATATCCAGACTAACTGCTAAGGCCTCTCCCTTACTCTCGATTGCCACTGCCCATCGGTGTGTTAAGTAAGCTAAAAGATCACCAGCCGAACGTCCCTGTCGAAAGCCGTACTGGCGATCACAGATCAGCTGGTGCTCTTCTAGGTACCGGAGCAGTTGACGGTTAATGATGGATTCCATAACCTTCGAGAATAAGGAAGTGATAGCTATGGGCCTATAGTTAGCTGGATCTGAGCGATCTCCCTTTTAGGGATCGGATGCACCAGAGCAGTCTTCCAAAACTTTGGGACTATGCCCGATGAGTAGCTAAGCCGAAAAAGACGCGTAAGAACCGGAGCCAACTCTGGTGCGCACGTCCTAAGCACAATTGGAGGAATACCATCGGGCCCACTCGACTTATGGATTTCGAGGGAGAAAAGTGCTCTACGCACTGAGCTATGCGTGAATTTAATGTCAGGCATAGAGCTCCTACAACACGTGATGGTCGGTGGTGATTTCATCCCGTCATCCAATGTCGAGTTTGACGCAAAGATGGATCCAAGAAGATCGGCCTTTTCCTTAGCGTTCTGGGCCAACGAGTCATCCTCCCTGCGCAATGGTGGAAAAGATGACTTACAGAAATTCCCTTGTGCAGCTTTGGCAAGAGACCAGAAAGCTCGAGTCCCAGAGGGCAAACTAGCCAATCTCTTGCCAATTCTACTAATATGCTCTGACTTCGCTGTGGCTATAACTCTTTTGAAAGACCTAGAGGCAGAGTTATACTTCTTTTTGAGAGCACTGGTGTTAGGATCTCGCGACGCCACACCTTTAGCCCAGGTTAGGAAGCACTCCTGTTTCAGACGAGATGCTGTTCTACAAGAGGCTCCATACCAGGGCTGGGATTTCCCGCCGACGGGCACCACAGAGTTAGGAATAAATAATTCCATTCCCTGAAGCACCACATCAGCAATGGAATCGGCAATGGCGTCAGGATCATCCAGTGTGAAGCAAACCCGCCTCCATGGGTAAGATGCGAAAAAAATCCGCATCTCATCCCAGTCCGCTGACCTGTAGTGCCAGACACGACGTCTACCCGTGGAACGTGGTGGAATCGGACTCATGAGAGGCACCTCGCTCCGCACCAGACTGTGATCCGACGATCCAAGCGGAGCTTCGACGGAAATCACATAGTTGTCTGGGTGGGTGGTCAGCAGAAGGTCCAACAGTGAAGGTGAATGGTCCAACACATCAGGTATTCGCGTAGGCGAGGAAACAAGCTGCGTCAGACCATAAGCCAAAGCAAAGTCATGAACAGATCTTCCCGCATAGTCGGTTGTACGTGAACCAAGCCATTCGGTATGGTGGGCATTAAAATCGCCAAGAATCACGACTTCGGCGGAAGGAATCTGTTCGAGCAGGGAATCTGTAGCCATTTGGACGTGCTCAATGAGTTGGTCGGTTTCGATGTTACCGCTGTGGGACCTGTATAGGCATGCATAGACGCGAGGATGGTCATTGCAGTCTACGCGCAGCCATAAAATAGACAGGTCCGTACCTTCAAGAGTTCCAAGGCGGCGACAGCAGATATCCTCTCTGACATACGCGCATACACCGGCACGCGAAACAAAACAATGTTCAAGTTTATAGCCCGGGTACGTCAGGTATGAAGTTTCGTTTGGAGAGGATATCTGTGTCTCCGTTAGAAAGAGCAATGCCGGCCGCGCCGTTTCTAGGTGGTGGTGGACAGCGTTTAGGTTAGAATGTAATCCCCTGATATTGCAGAAGCTCACATTGAGCGAAGGGGATGCCGTAGAAATCTTGCTCCGTTTGCCCTTGGTTCCAAAGAGCGGAATTTTGCCCCCCAGAATACGCAGGGCAGCCCGAGCGTGGTTGCTCGAGAGAGGATTCTCCAGCAACATGGTTACTGGTACCTCCCTGGGGTATGCTATTTTTTTTTAATTCCACTGCCATGGTTGCGTGTTGTAAGATAGGGGGACGGGGTTGGGGAAAGGATTTTAGGAATAGGAAAGGGATGGGTGTGGGATGGGTATGGGATGGGCCTCCGGACTCCCTCACTCACCGTACGGAATGTGATCGCACTGAAAGTGCAACCACTTAGCGTCGGTATTCTGTGAGGGTGTGGTACTTCCCCGGTCGAGCCGGCCCATTCATGCTGCAATACCATATGGTATTACAGCGTGGCTCTACCACCTAAATTATAGTATTAAATTTGTATAATTTTATACTCATTTGTATTTATAAAACATTTATTTTAGATTATTTTATTTCAATTTTATTAATTAAATATTTAAAATTATTTTGACAGTGATTTGAATTTCACTACAATTTCAGTAGAAATGAAAATTGCATGAAAATTAAAAGAAATTATTAGAAATTTCCTTATGTTGTCCAGGCACTAATGCTGTTGTTAAAAGGGTATTTTCACTAGGGAATGATTATTGGAACAGTTACAATGAGAAGTCGCAACTTTCTGTAAAAACATTATCTGCCGTCTTAACAGTCAAATTTAATATGCAAAATGAAAGTTGTTCGGATGTGGCTACATTATTAGACAAAGGTCCTCATTTAGAAAAAATATCCACTCTGAAGAAAAATATGTTTTTAAAGGAAAATAAAGTTTTTATCATTTTTTCTTCTTTTTTTCACATATGAAATACTTTCAAACTCTCTACTCTACTCTACTCTTTTTGACACAAAAAATAGTTGGTCACCTTATTACTTACTTCAACATCATCATCATCATATCAGCCTTTAACTGTCCACTGTTGAATATAAGCCTCCTCCTTGGAATATCTAACTTAAAAACTGGTTTATGTTTTATTTTGATATATTATTTACAAGTGATCTATTTACAAAAAGCCAAAGCCTTGGGTAATATGGATAAAATAAAAATGCATGTATCGTCATGTCGTCATGTCGTGTAAACAAGCTTTTCCATTCGGTTGCATTTTTTTTTATATATTTTATGTTACACATACGGAATGGTCCCGTAGAGATTTTATAAAAATCAGTAGTACAGTTTTGTCACAATTGAAATCGACATTCCTGTGGGACACAATATTTAATTAATATTTCTTATATATGTTCTAATATTGTTGTAATATTAATATTTCGAGGGGAAGGGATTGCTAATAATGGGATCTAACAGCTCCATTACTAACAATATACCCTGTCAGGTCGACCTCCACGTGGTTCCCCCTGGAAACGATCGTGGTTAATTCTTGTGAAATTCGTCACGATGGGCTAACTGACCTGCTTTCATCCTCACCTGTCATCTATCACTGGTGCCCCGCCAGCATATACCGATAGCGCAGGCGGGGCAACCATTCCATTATCATCAATAAAAAAAAAATATTAATATTTCATTGAATAGTAACATTTATAAAAAAGCTAATTCATTCGATACCATTATTTTTGCGATATAAAATGTGGAAACTGATAATTTTATTGAATTTTATTCTATTAAGAGACTCCCATTCAATTATTGTACTTTGGACGTGACAACTGTCTGAAAAGAACACGTCATGACATGTTCGTTCTCTGTAGCTACAGAAACTGGCACGGAAATTAAGTGACTACGCTCATTTGTCTTTTATACTGGGTGGAGGTTGACTGGAACAGATAAAGTAAAGAATCTATTCCATCTGTTCTTGTTACAGTAAGTAAATCTTACATTTTACAAAATAACAGCCTGTTCCGAAATAACATTATGTTATATCGAAATATCGTTTTAATAATGATATTGTTTTAGAGCAGATAATAGCTGCTATATCTTTTTAATACAGGTTATCTCTATAATCCATGTGCTAAATATAACAGTAAAAGAATAGCATGTTTCCCCTAATGTTTAATAAAAATCACCCCTAGTACAGACAATGTTAATATAGCAATATCTATATATTTTTCAGTTACAATGTACGTATACTGGTCTAATAACGAATATCTTAAAAGTCTGTTATCCAAAAAATAATATTGGATAACAGATTTTTAACATATTCGAAAATAGATATCCGACCGATATGAGTGATATCAAAATGGATAATGATCTTTTTTCTGTTATCATTGCCCAGGATAACCTAATATATAGATATCAGATCGGTATCCATATTACGCATGCATAGTCTGTACAGACAATTTACTATAGTAAATTACTATCAAGTTTTTTTTTTATAGAACTTAAAATGGCAAACAAGCTGACGGTCCACCTGATGGAAAGTGGTAACCGTCGCCTATAGACATGAGCAGTACCATGGTATGTCCATACAGAGTATACTGTTTCGCTCATGATACCCCCCATGCGTTGTCATTCCTGAGCACTCAGGTGTTATTCCTCCGTACTCAGTAAATTCACGCCATACCCCACCCTTCAAACCGAAACACAGCCATGCAAACACAACTGCTTTACGGTTGAAACACGAATGGGACAGAGACCCAAGCAATCGACTTTTGTACAAAGTCTCCCTCTGATAGAGGTTCCTAAGGTAGTATACTCGTATAGTATTCGATAGTTACGCGACGATGCGTTTTGATTTATGGGGTAGTAATCTATCCTGCGTATACGAAAACGATATGTAGTATAGTTTACGACAGTCGCATAACTCTCGATTACTACAACCACTTTAGAAACTTGATAGTAATCTATTGTTATAAATTGTTCGTAAAAACTTATGGTAGCGTGCAGGTGGGGAATAGTAACTATCTCTTTTTAACACATATTACTTCCGTATGCTAGAAACGAGAAGAGCATGTTTCGTGTTTAGTTAGGTCGAAGCGATCGGTTGTGGAACAGGCATTATGGTTTCTTCGGAACAGTTTTATTTTTTGAAACCAGTTGTATTTGAATTTTCTACTACATATGCCTCACCTACTACCTGATAATTAATTCACACCTGAATTATTTACATACGAGTATAATGTTAAATTTAACGTGCTTTACACCTTTGCTCCATTAAAGTCTAACTTAAGAAACTTCCTACATAGGAAAATCGACTAGAAACATTATTGATTGCAAAAAAGTTTTTATCACAATTTGTGTAGATATTTACATTAAAATACAAAAAATTTAAATAGAGAATACTGAAATTATGGAACACATAAAAAAAAATTAAAAATATTCTTAGTCGATGCCAAATTATTTAAAAAATACATTTTATTGGACAATAAAAGAAACTTAAATTATATGAACTATTATGTTAACATATAAATGAAGATTATATTTAAATATATGTACATTTATTTCTATTACATTTACTACATTATATTACATTATATTACATTTATTTACTTTCAATCATTTTAAAAGAAGACTTTTAAATTGTAATTTTTTTTTATTTTACTTTTTACAAACAACTAAGTATAGTGTAGAGATTATTTTAGGGAGTATCATAGCTTCTGAATATAGTTCATGCTCAGTTTCTTGCGGCTGGTATTGTGAAACTATGCATCTAAATTATAAGTTATTTACCATAAATAGATTTGCCAATTTTTAACCGGTATTTGTTTTCAGACTAATGTAATGTGTATTTTCCTATTTAATTTCAGGCATGTTATTTTCGTCGATCGTTGCTGGCTTTCTGACTGACACGTTTGGGAGAAAAATATTTATACACACAGGTTACGGGGGCATTTTTATATTCACCGTAATAGGGGGTTCGAGTCAAAATTACGAGGTGCTCGTTACAGCGAAATTCTTTGAAGGCATGTTGTGAGTATACACGTAAATTATTGTTTACATAAAAATATTGAGTGTTTTTATTTATGCAACTTAGGATAGCAAACAAGCTGACGGTCCACCTGATGGAAAGTGGTAACCGTCGTCTATAGACATGTGCAGTACCATGGACATAACAGAGTATACTGTTTTGCCCATGATAACCCCCATGCGTTGCCTTTCTTGAGGACTCAGGTGTTCACTGTTATGTCCATGGTAGATATTGCTCATGTTTATAGGCAACGGTTTCCACTTTCCATCAGATGGGCCGTCAGCTTATTTGCCATTATAATTAACACAAAAAAGTAATGTATAAAAAATATTTTATCAATAATTAAAAAAACATTGCATCGTTCGTTCTAATACAATTTACAAGAAAGTAGAATTATATTCCATTAAGTAAATAATAACATATCATAATCGTAATTTCTTAAATCACAGCCGCGGATTTACTTACCTGCTTAATTAATACCGCGTATCTAAACACAAGCCCCAATTACGTGACATCTAACATAAAATATGTATGAGATTACGTACATAAGAGAAGTAATGTTGAGCTACATTACCGAATGTCTCCATCGCCATATGTCTGAAGCACATTGATTAATGTACACCCACACGCTTCAAATTACTTTCCTAACTTTCAGATGACTCAATCTGCGAAATGTCAGTCGCTAGACTTTTTCGTATTCTCCGAACGCTTGTTATTTTTTGTAAGACGTCTGTTCATTGTGTGTGTTTGATGTGATATCAAATGATAATTTCCAATGAACAAAGTTTTTTTTTAACCGATTCTCAAAAAGCGGTTATCAGTTCTTTTCTGTATACACTCTATGCTATAACGTAGACAATACTGTATTTATTTTGACAATTTGACGAATTTATCGATAACGTTGGTGGTCTAGCGGCTAATCACACCACTTTGCGTTCTGATGGTCGCGGGTTCGATTCTTGCACAATACATACATATTTCACAAATCCTTCACAGAATGGGCCACCCCTTCCTTTCCTGTAGATGTCGTTAGAGGCGACTAAGGGAACTTAATGATTGAGAGATAGGCAGCAGCGTTTCCTTTTATCTCTAAAAGCCTAACTACGATTGCTAACTCTTCTGCCAAGCGTGGCAAAATTACTGGTAAAACTCCCCTTACGGGGAAGGCTTATGTTCAGGCGTATGTGGCTGAAATAATAATGATGACATTCATAAGTATGTCTATTTATATAGGTTTGGTTTACTATCTATATATAATATGGTACATATTATAAGTCTATAAATACATACATATGTAATGTAAATAAGTGTCCTAATATCAAGTACTTACAAGCATTTCTTAACTAAATAACTAAGTAAATTATGTAATAAATGAACAATACTCGTATTTCATAAATTACCTAAACGTTTTGGATGTTCTAAACATTACCTAAGTTTGTTGTTGCATTGTGCAGAATACCGGATTATATAAATTGTTGATAATATATTGTTATGATTTGAAGGGTGGGATATGGCGTGAATTTACAGGGTATAGAGGAATAATATCTGAATCCTCAGGAATGGGGGTATCATGGGCGAAACAGTATACTCTGTTATGTCCATGGTACTGTTCATGTCTATAGGCGACGGTTACCACTTACCATCAAGTGGGCCGTCAGCTTGTTTGTCATTCTAAGTAGTATAAAAAAATATATATATACATAAATATGTTATTAGGTTTGCAGCGTCATTCAGTGCTTGCGTGACATACACAGCTGAGTTTTGTCATAATGGCATCAGAGACAGAGTCCTAATGGTACAGTCGTCGTTCATTGGAGTCGCCCAGGTTGTAATTGCCTTATTATCTTGGGGCATATTGAAGCAGGAATGGACATACAGCTTATTTAACGGGTATTTTGGTAAGTAGTATTTTTTTGTAATTATTTATGTCGATTTTACCCATGATTTTAAATTTGGGGATGGCCGACTAGTTTCGGACTCAATAGGAGCCCTTATTTATGAAGTGGTTCACGGCTGTGTCGCGAGCAGTACTGCGTAACCAGCGTGCTGTTAGTGACGGTGGGACCGAAATTTGACAAAATCCGATATAAATAATTAAAATATAATATGACTCACGATAGTTATTGTTTAACAAGTCATTATTATTTCAGCCGTTATTCGTCTACTGCTTAGTTAGTATATTTAGTGAATTAAATAAGCCTCAATTAATTAAATTATAGTAAATATATTTACATATTTTATAATATTATAAAGAATATCATGTGACATCACTAGACTAACGGGCAACGTATGAAGAGTATCATGGGCGACACATTATAATACTCTGTTGTGTCCACGGTACTGTTCATGTGTATAGGTAATTTGCATAAGAAAAACTATTTAATCGATTTTGGTTGAAATTTGAAAAAAAATCCAAATCGGTTTATAAGTCACGAATTTCTGAGAAACATAAAAAAATGCCAGCGAATTGAGCACCTTTTTCCTTTTTTTTTGAAGTCCATTGATAAATAAGGAAAATCAAAAATAAAATTAAGCCCGATATTTTGAATAGGATAGAATAGAAACAATATTTATTCCAATAGTCTTGTTTAGAAGCTCTTTTAAATAGTCAATTTTTTATAATTGTACTACTGGGTTCGGAATGTTGTTATCTGCTGTAAAAGAACCCCCAAATTACTCTTTTCAAATTATTATGTACAAGACAATTTTACATTTGCATGTGTACTGTGATTGTAATAAGAATTAAGTTCTATTTATATATATTATTGAATGGAAAATAAACAGTCAGTGAGCAGACCAGTCTCTACAAGCAGCACTCGTTCACGAGTATGACGAATGAGCTAACCGTCATATATTAGGGGTGTCAATGACCTGGCCCATCACTATATCTCTTTGCATATTAATAATGATCTCTTATAATACGAAGAGCAGAGATAGATCACTACTGTAAGGGTGTAAAGGTGAATAAATGGGAAGAAGGGATTGTTAGTAATGGGGAGGTTAGTCTCCATCGCTATCAATATACCTTATCAGGTCGACCTCCACTCGGTTCCTCCTGGAAACCATCGTGACTAATTTATCGTCGAATTCGTCACGATGGGCTAACTGACCTGCCTTTGCATCCTCACCAATCATCTCTCACTGGTGCCCCACAAGTGTATACCGATAGCACAGGTGGGGTTATCATTCCATTATCATCCATCAAAATAAAAAAGGTGAATAAGTAACAATTTTTAATTTCAGTTTTAAACACATGGAATTTCTACATCCTCATAATGTCGCTGTGGTCATTGTCCGGTTTCCTTCTGTATCTATTTTTGCCGGAAAGTCCAAAATATTTGGTAATGCAAAAGAGGTATTCAGAAGCGAGGAAAATTTTAATAAGAATATACAAGACAAACACTGGAAATCCTGCAGAAATGTATCCTGTAAGTTTTCCATTTTACAAATATGATATAATTAAAGATTGTTTCCCACAAATAAACCGACTTTACTAATATAATAGAATCAAAAACAATGATTTTTAGAATTTTTGTCTGTTTGTCTGTTTGTATGTACGTTTGTGCACGCTAATCTCAAAAATGGCTTAACCGACCTGAATGCAATTGCCACTAATTCATTGCGGGTTGCTCCACTTAACATCAAGAGTCTGTTTTATTTCAATCGGTTCATAAATAAAAATGTTATATTAATCTAAAGAGTCACTAATGAAAAGCTATAAAATAACCGATCAGTTAAAGTAAAAGCTATAGAATAACTGATCAGTTAAATTGGCTGAAACTTTTTTTATTATAACTATTTATATTTTCGAAAATTCCGTCTACTCATGCGAAGCCAGGTCAGATCGCTAGATTTTTTTATATATCTCTGCAAATAATGAAATAAAATAAATTGTTTTATTTTGTAGGCTAACAAAAAAAAATAATTCATGATAAAATATTTTTTAACAGTTCAAGGATATATGGAAAAATCAAAGTAAAGTTGGGAATAAAACAAATGCAATTCCAGAAAAGAAGTCAGCACTCTCCCATCAAATCGTCGAGGGCCTACATAACATAAAACCTATGTTCCACAAACCTTTAGTGATGTACTTGGCAATGATATGTACTATGAATTTTATTACTATGGCATTGTAAGTACATGGCATCATCATCATCATCATGATCGTCATTTCAGCCGTTATTTATTATTAAAATCTATATTAATTTTCACAAAATTACTAAATTGTCTTCTAGTATATAAATTACTGTATCCTACGATTTTACCTGCGCAAATCAGTATATAAAGCATATTTTTATTTATTTTATACAACTTAGAATGGCAAACAAGCTGATAGTCCACCTGATGGAAAGTGGTAACCGTCGCCTATAGACATGAGCAGTACCATGGACATAACAGAGTATACTGTTTCACCCATGATACCCCCCATGCGTTGCCATTCCTGAAGACTGAGGTGTTATTCCTCTGTACCCAGTAAATTCACGCCATATCCCCCCCTTCAAACCGAAACAAAGTAATGCAAACAAAACTGCTTCACGGTTGAAACACGAATGGGACAGAGGTGCCCAAGCAATCGACTTTTGTACAAAGTCTCTTTCTGGTTGCATGCATGTGCTAAGTTAAGATATAACTAGAGAATACAATCCCGGGATTTCTAATGACAAAGGCAATGGGCCATTACATATGCAGCCATAATAATTATATATAAATTTATTATATAAATTAAAACAAATAATAAAAAAAAATTAATGACTACAAATGCAAAAATATAAAATTACGTCATCATTAATCAATTGTAATACAAGATTTTAATCTAATAATATATATAATATAGAAAAAATCGTTTTGATAGAAAGTCAATGATATAATTTTATTTATTGCATCTGTGGTCAATAAATAAAATTATATAATCAATCTGTGGTCAAAAATTATTTTTAATGATTTGATTTAATTTATATAATAAATTTATACATAATTATTATAGCTGCATATGTAACGGGCTATTGCTTTTATCATTGGGGAACCCAGAATTGTATTCTCTAAGCATTGCATAGCTGTGTAACAAATTTTATTCAAATCCATTAAGTACTCTTTACTTTAATGAGTAATGAACATCCATCCACACTTACGAACTTTCGAATTTATAAAATTAATAGGATTAAAATATCCGAATATTAATTTACAGAAGCATCATAAGAATCTATCAAGACCACTCTCCACCATTAATTTGCTGCGTACAAAAGGGTCTATAATGCTCTTTATAAAATAATTAGGTTAATTTAACCTATTGTAATTTAATAATAATAATATTTATTTATTTATACATAACACAAGGCCCATTTTGTTATTTATAAATCTACTTAACCTATGTTAGTAAATGAGCGGTCGTGACGCTCTTGCATTGATAACCTGTCCCACCCAATATTTTAGCATGGGACAGTCCATTTTACCGGCAATTGTCTTCAGGACACTGTTTGAGCTAACATACCAACAGCCAAAAATTCATTTGCGCCGTATTGCGAAAAATCACCTGTACGCTCTCGTACAAACTACGTACGTGATGCACTACTACGAAGGGGTAGCCCCAACAGTGCCCCGAAGTTTCATATATATAAGGTTGTCAGAGTATCAGTTGAGAGAGTATCAGAGTGAAGCAGTTGTGTTTGCATGGCTGTGTTTCAGTTTGAAGGCTGGGATATAGCGTGAATTTACAGAGTACAGAGGAATAACACCTGAGTCCTCAGGAATGGCAACGCATGGGGGGGTATAATGGGCGAAACAGTATACTCTGTTATGTCCATGATACTGCTCATGTTTATAGGCGATGGTTACCACTTTCTATCAGGTAGGCCGTCAGCTTGTTTGCCATTCTAAGTTGTATAAAAAAAATATAAAATCATTGTTTACATAGTTAACGCCACGCATTTGTTGGTATATTTAAATTAAAATTATACTCTATAACGATTGGAAAATTATTGGATACAAAATCGTAACACTATAGCCTCCAGAAATGGCAGCCCATAATCACGGATGTCACAGTATATTCTGTGATATCCATGGTGCAATTCATGACTAAGGCCACGGTTAGCAGTTTTTCACGAGTTGTACAAAAAACATCAACTTCAATAGTGACAAAATAATTTATTTTGATTTGAAATAAATTTACTGAATCGATTTTGATAAAATTTCTATAGGTTCAATTTGAAAGTATATTCTTTCATATATAAAAGTATATAAATCGGTTTATAAATGATGGAGTTATTAGGTAACCGATATAAAGATAATCGAAATGAGTCCTTTTTTGAAAATGTTCCTTTTTATCAGGTACAACGTAGTACGACTGTGGTTTCCTCAAGTCTCGACAGTGGTGGAACATTACACCAGCACAAGGAACGAGGATTTGTGCGTCATGTTGGATGCGTATGCTAAGGATGAAAAGTTAAAAGTGTATAATGTAACAACCGAGGAGTGTATACCGGTGAGTATCAGAACAATCATCATCATCAATATAATAATATAAGTTTAGAATCATCATCATTTATATTAGAATATAGGTTCAGAATCATCATTATCAATATCATAATATAAGTTCATAATCATCATCATCTATATCATAATATAACTTCATAATCATCATCATCAATATCATAATATAAGTTTTGAATAAGCATTATCAATATTAAAATATAAGTTCAGAACCATCAATATCATAATATAAGTTCATAATCATCATCATCTATATCATAATATAAGTTTTGAATAATCATTATCAATATTAAAATATAAGTTCAGAACCATCAATATCATAATATAAGTTCATAATCATCATCATCTATATCATAATATAAGTTTTGAATAATCATTATCAATATTAAAATATAAGTTCAGAACCATCAATATCATAATATAAGTTCATAATCATCATCATCTATATCATAATATAAGTTCTGAATAATCATTATCAATATTAAAATATAAGTTCAGAACCATCAATATCATAATATAAGTTCATAATCATCATCATCTATATCATAATATAAGTTCATAATCACCATCATCTATATCATAATATAAGTTTTGAATAATCATTATCAATATTAAAATATAAGTTCAGAGTCATCATCGTCTATATCATAATATAAGTACAGAATCATCATCGTCTATATTAAAAATATAAGTTAATTTAATATCAGCCATTAACCATCCACTGTTGAACATAAGCCTCCCCTTTGGTGGGGTTTTGCCAGTAGTTACCACGCTTGACAGACGGATTAGCAACCGCCTTTAGGCTTTGGAGATGTTTTAAGACGCTGCTGCCCAACCCTCGCCCTCCCTTAGTTGCCTCTTATGACACCCATGGGAAAGAAGGGGTGGCTTATTCTATACTGGGACCATACGGCAATTACTTAAGTTACAGTGTATTGATTTTGCACGGTGATGCAAATCTGATGCATGGTTTACCTTGATACGACATCCAGTATTGGTTATTTCCTAACCCAATTAACACATGTATGAAGTTCTAGCAAAAGGTAGTGTGCGAAATATATATGTATACATATATATATCTTGTAATTATACTAAAACTATAAACAACTTTCCAATCCACTGACAAGTTGCTTAGATACGGTAAGCAACTTATGAGTTATTGTTACTCGCTCGTATGAATTACCATAAATTGTCCCATGCCCGAGAGGAGTTGGTGACTTGTGATACGGCTACAGGATACGCAGTTCAAGCGTCAATTCAAAATAACTCTAAATATGAATAGCACATAGATTACTGATCGTAATTAGAAGGTTGTAAGAAAATAAATAGAAAGTAATATTATGCAAAAAATGGCCGTGTGGTCCCAGTATATAATAGGCCGCCCCTTCTTTTCCCGTGGGTGTCGTAAGAGGCAACTAAGGAGGGAGAGGGATGGGCAGCAGCGCCCTCTTAAAACATCTCTAAAGCCTTAATGCGATTGGCAATCCGCCTGTTAAGCGTAGCAACTACTAGCAAAACCCCACCAAAGGGGGGACTGATGTCCAGCAGTGGACTGTTAAAGGCTTATATGATAATGATGAAGATAGGCTAAAATTCTATCTACTCATATGAAGCCGGGCCTGATTACTAGTATTATACTACCCCTTGTACAATGGATCGTGCTCAGAGGAATTGTTCAATATGATGCCCACGGCCATATTCTACCATCGTACGGCTCGCCATCGACAGGGAGTTTACCCTTATACTTTACAGCCTAAATGATCGCGTACAACGCAGTTTCAGAGATGTTTTCTCTCACGAACACTCAGATTATAGAATGAGCCGAGGTTTTCCTAAGAGACTACAGCATGGGGTTCTTCAAAAGAGGATAAAGAAGTTTTTTGAGGATCGGCAACGTGCGCGTTAAACCCCTGGTATTGCAGGCGTCCAAAAGCGCTATCATCAGGTGGTCCGTATGCTTGTTTGCCACCTCAGTGGTATAAGAAAAAAATTATATATTTCTTTTTTATTCCAGAATAAGAGCGGTGATGAGACATATACCAACAGTTTAATCATAGGCTGTGTATGTCTATTATCAATGATAGTAAGCAGTATTTTAGTCAACAAAGTTGGTAAAAAGGTGTTGATTATATCAGCAGGCGTTATATGTTGCTGTTCCACCTTGGGTATAAGATTCGCCAACTCCAAAACTATTGTAGTGGTACTGTTCGCCTTAGATACGTCGGTGTCACAAGCTATCATGGCATTAAACCAAGCTATTATTGTTGAAACCTTCCCAACTACGACTAGGTATGTTTTCCTTTTATTTATTTTACTGAAGGCTAAAACAAATTTGCCCCAATATGGAACTGTCATTGGAACACTTGTTCTGTAAAATTATATTTCGATTAGAAGTATTGATCACTTTACATGCTCTCTGACAAAATTCACAAGGACCGGAATGTATACTACATGTAAATGTAAAATCTAGTTTCGTCGTGTGCTCCCGGTGTAGAATGGGCCACCCCTTCCTTTCCTGTGGGTGTCGTAAGAGGCGATTAAGGGAATTTTCATGGTCGAGGGATGGGAAGCACCATCCTTCTTAAAACACCAACAAAGTTATTGAATTTGTCAATCCAACTGCCAAAAGTAGCAACTATTGGTAAACCCCCCAAATAGGGAGAGGCCTATGTTCAACAGTGGGCAGTTAGCTGATATGTTGATGATGATTGTAAAATCTAAATCAATGTTTTAAAAAAAAACAATTTTTGTTGTAACTTTCCGACTTGGGATTTATCCTGTAAATGCATGGTAACAAGAGAATAAAGAAATAAAATAAATATTTTCCAAATTAAAGTAATTTATAAATTAATGAATGAATTATTAATTTGGTAACTAATAATTAAGGAGCCATGTTTTAAATTTAAACATAAATAGTTGCTACGGGTTCTCATCGACTCATTAACTTTTTAAAGGTAATTTTCAAATGACTGTATTTAGGAAAATAAAAAATTCATGATTAAATATAGAGTTTACTTTAAATTATTTTATTATAAACATTCTCTCATCTAAAAATAAACTAAAATAGCTGATTTATTTTTAACAATCACTACCAGGGTATATTTAGGTGTACGCTTAGTCTAATAGACACCATTGGAACATGACACCATAATTAGAGGCTTTAATGGCTCCATAATCACTTTTACATCGACGAGACTGTAGATAAACGCGCTCTAATTTCATAAAAAAAAGTTTATTTTTTTTTTTATAAAATTCTACTAAGACGAGGAACGCAGCACTTTTTTTTAACCGACTATAGAAAAGGGGAGATTCTTAATTCGGTTGTATTTGTTTGTTTGTTACCTCATAACTCCGCTTGCCGTGAACCGATTTGAAAAAATCTTTTTATCTTTAATTCTCCTTTTTTTATTTGATATTTATCTGAAATTTTCTCAAAATCGATTCAGCAGTTCAGTTTTTAAATCGAAATAACTGGTGGCCATGATTAAAGGCTGCTATTTATGCAACACGATTTAAAATTATGGGCTTTAAATTATATGAGGAAATTCACATAACCTGTATTAATAATAATAATAATAACTCATAGTTTATAGTTACATTATTAATTATACAAACTATTAATATTTTAAAAATACACATTAATTACAAAATACTAATTTAAATTATTCCATTATAAAATCTTTTGTCGTCAGGTATGCAGTGAAGAATACAGTTTTTACAATATGATTACTTATTGTCATTAATCTTTCATGAATTAATTTATTTTTCAGAACTCTAGGCGTGTCTATGATAATGATGGTGGGACGTATAGGAACCCTCGTCGGTAATGTCACATTTCCAATACTTTTAAACATGAGCTGCGAAATACCATTCTATACAATGTTTGGATTTATGATATGTAAGTACGCAAATATTGAAAGGTCATAAATTATTTAAAAAAATAAATATTAACACTTGTCAGAGTCAGACTTAGTATAAAAGTTTGCTGCATGGGTATATCTGTCCCACTCGTATTTCTGGCACGAAACAGCTGTGCTTTCTTAAGTGTGTATAGGTTTGAAGAGTGTAAAATTACAGAATACGTCTCAGTTCTCAGGAAAGACATTACAAGAGCGGTATAGGTATCATAGCACATTCTGTCATGTCTATAGACACGTTCCCATTTTGCTTAATAGATGATAAAGAAATAGTAAGCCTGCCTGGCTATACACTAGTGGAGAACAAACGAGAGATGTTAGGTGAAGAGGAAAGCAGGTCAGTTAGACTATCGTGACGAAATCAACTATAAATCAATTATGATGATTTTCAGGAGGAACCGTGAGGAGAACGAGTTGATATGGCATATTGCTAGCAATACGGTTGCTTCTCCCCATTACTAACAATTCCTTTTCCTCCACATTTCATTAGACGAGGCATCATCTTGTTTTTCATACTATATTACATACTGTGTTTCGGTTTGAAGCGTGAGATACATATGACAATAAATTTACAGGGTACAGAGGAACAACACTTTAGTCCTCAGGAATGGCAACACATGTGGGGGGGGGGTATTGGGGACGAAACAGTATGCTCTGTTTTGTCCATGGTATTGCTCATATCTATAGGTAACGGTTACCACTTTCTATCAGGTGTGTCGTCAGCTTATTTGCCATTCTAGGTTGCATAAAAAAAATACAAAAATATTGTCTAGTCTGTCAGAGACATTTGTCAACTGTCCTTTTGAATCCAACGCAGCAGAGAGCGAGCCTATCATCAGCTCTTATTTTTATACCATTGAGGTAACAAACGACAATACGATCCACCTGTACTCGGTTACCGTAGCTGTATAATACCAGGTAGTAACGCCTGTAATACCAGGGATATTACGCGCACGTTGCCGGTACTGAAGAAACCTCTTTAGCCCTTTTTTTGAAGAACTTCATGCTGTAGTCTCTTGGAAAAACCTCAACAGGGAGCTCACTTCGTAATCTTAACGTTCGTGGGAGTAAACATCTGTAAGATCGCACTGTACGCGACCATCTAGACTTTGAAGTATGGGGGTGAAATCCCTGTCGCTGGCGAGAGTTTGGAAATTTGCTTTATTAATGGCGTCTCCGTTACCGGAGAATTAGTCGACCTTATTCGAACACTCGGCTTTGCTTGCGATCTATAAGACGAGGTATACGCATATACGTATTACGTTAATACAAGGTCATCGTCATTAATTATATTTAGCTGTACAAACCTTTCTAATTATACAAGATAATTCCCATTCATAATAACATTCAAAAGGAATTTTCCCGGGAACCTACTTATCACTATAAATGGGTAATATGGAGTTAAAGGGCGTACTGAGTTATTTTTATCTCAAAGCAGTTCCGTTTTAGTATTACTGTTATGGGGGTGTATGTATGGATATATAATTCTACAGATATGTATACAGAGGTTTATGTGTATATTTGTATTAAACGAGTAGAATGTAAAGGGTTAAATAAATGTATTTTGTTTATATTGTTACGGCGTTTCATATATAAAATGCCTGTAGATCGACACAGAGCCACCAGTAAGCCTATTTAAAAAAAATACTTTCCAATTATCTGTTGAGTAAACAAAATCAATATTTTTTTATGCAACATAGAATTGTAAACAAGCTGACGGCCCACCTGATGGAAAGTGGTAATCGTTACCTATAGACATGAGCAGTACCATAGACATAACAGAGTATACTGTTTCGCCCATGATACCCCCCATGCGTTGCCATTCCTGAGAACTCAGGTATTGTTCCTTTATACTCTGTAAATTCACTGCCATATCCCACCCTTCAAACCGAAACACAGCCATGCAAACACAACTGCTTCACGGTAGAAACACGAATGGGTCAATCTCTCGCTAGCTTCAAAACCTCTGTTAAAGCCCATTATCTCTCCCTTTAAGTAACTATTTTTTCCCATGTTCTATCTTCATCTTCCAGTGTCACTCTCTCCTGTTGTATGTGTACTTTTAATTTTGTGTATGTTTATGTATGTATTTGTTTATGTATATATATATATATATATATATATATATATATATATATATATATATGTATGTATGTACATATATATGTATATATCTTTGTATATATTTGTTTGTATATAATAATACTAATATAATAGTGCGCCACCTACCCTTTATTTTTCTTTGTTTTCTCAATGTTCTCTACCCAAAGGTTGTCTGGAAGAGATTGCTTAGCGATAAGGCCGCCTTTTTTATCATTTCTTATTACAGTTAAATGTGTTTACTATTTTATAAATGGTTCAATAAAGTGTACATAAATAAATAAATAAATAAATGGGTCATAGGTACCCAAGCAAACGACTTTTGTACAAAGTGCCCCTCTAGTAAAATATATCAGTTAATATAATATATACATAAATATTTAAGTGATGGCTAATCATATAAAAGTGTAAATTTAAGCTATTTATTGTTGTATATATGTTAATATTATATAAAGCCACCATGTTTTACAACATTTACTTTAAGAGAAAGGATTAATAATTTACTGTAATAATTAATATTTTTTTACAGTTTTTTAAGTATTTATTTATTATATGTACATATTTCCATTCATGATGATGATTTATGATGTACATATGTTATTTATAAGCCAGGTAGTCCCAGTACATAATAGGCCATTCCATTCTTTCCCAAAGCTGTCGTAAGAGGCGACTAGGAGAGGGCGAGAGATGGGCTGCAGCGTCCCTCTTAAAACATCTCTAAAGTATAACTGTGTTTGCCAATCCGCCTGTAAATTGTGGCAACTACTGGCAAAACCCTCCAAGGGGAAGGCTTATGTACAGCAGTGGACAGTTAAAGGCTGATATAATGACGATGATAATGTATTTATATTTTGTAGTAATATTTAAATTTACTCGTATTTCGAAAATATTTTGCAACACTGCTGTCCATTCACTGCTTCCTATGCCACTGTGCTAGGTTGACTGGAAGAGTTCTTTATTCGAGATAAGTTCAATTTTGTTCACATTATTTTTAATAATTATTATTATTTAAATATTTACAAAATACACATCTCCCCTCTTAAGGAGAGGAGATGGCAACTAGAAGAAGAACTGGCAGAAGCACAGTCGGCACGGGTTCAGGACCCCAGGGAGAGAAACCGGCGTACAATGCGGGCAGAATCTAAAAGCACCGCTTTCTGAGTACAATAAAGAATAATATAAAAAATTAAGGATTTTTAAATATTATTTTTGATTTTGTTTCAGGTGTATTGATCCTTGCATTCTTCCTTCCAACTAAGAAAAAAAATTAGGATAAGCGTTCGAAAATATAAATGCAGATTAGCAATTAAGTTATTATTTAAAAAATAAATGATAATGAAAATTTGACAGCTTTTTTTTTTACATTTGTCGCTTACCAATATTTTGTTCGTAATAAAATCGCATTTTAATTTAATACATAAATGTCATACTGATATTAAATTTAGACATATGTTTAAATGTTTGTAATTTACTTCTCAAGATGATTAGCAAATAAATGAATACTAATAAGCAATTAAAATGATGCTAATAATGAAACAAAAATAAAAATAAAATTCCAAAATCAAATGTAGGGTTGTCACAAGCTAATTTCGATATCAAGTCGACATAATACAATTTTTACTAGTGATAATCAAAGGAATGTCATAAAATTATTCAGTTATGAAAAACAAGGAAAATATTCTTAATTTTTACACACAACTTCGTGTCACCGAAGTATATTTTAAATTACTGTATTAATTAGTAACATTTTAAATATCTTTTTTTTTATACAACTTAGAACGGCAAACAAGCTGACAGCCCACCTGATGGAAAGTGGTAAACGTCGCCTATAGACATGAGCTGTACCATGGATATAACAGAGTATACTGTTTCGCCCATAATACTCCCCATGCGTTGCCATTCCTGAGGACTCAGGTGTTATTCCTCCGTACCCAGTAAATTCATGCCATATCTCACCCTTCGAACCGAAACACAGCTATGCAAACACAACTGCTTTACGGTTAAAACATGAATGGGACAGAGGTACCCCAGCAATCGACTTATGTACAAAGTCTCCCTCTTTCAAAGAGTGTAATTATAGTCAACGAACTGTCTTGCAAAATAAGGTAATATGTTAAAAAGTGTATTTAGTAGATTAAAAAATTAAAAAAAAAACAATGGTAGCTTATGTCCTTCTCCATCCCAAATGGGTAAGGTACAAAGTTTTATGATAGTTCTTTGAGCCATTAAAGTGCCAAAAGTGTTACCTTTTGTCACTTTAATGGCTCAAAGGAAACAAACTCACAATTATATCTTCCTAAGATTATTCATTCTCACACGCTTGAACCTAAATGGTCACGTACGGTGCGGTTCCAGAGAAATTTTCTCCCACGAACGCTCAGGCTGTGGAATGAGCTCCTTGCCGAGGTTTTCCCTAGAGACTACTGTATGGAGTTCTTCAAAAAGGTTATATTAAGATTTCTTAGGGGTCGGCAACGCGCACGTGACACCCCTAGTATTGCAGGCGTCCATAGACTACAGTGATCGTTTACTATCAGACAGGCTGTATGAAAATTTGCTACTTTTGTAGTACGAAAAAAAAAATTATAAATGTGAAAGTTTGTAAAGATGTTTGGATGTTTATTGTTCAACTATTTCTAAATGTCTGAATCGATTTGAATGAAATTCAATACTCGAATAGGTTATATTCCGACTAAACATACATCATGTCAGCCACTATCCGTCCATTGGAAAACATAGGCCTCCCCATAGACTGTCATAAGAAATGGGCTTGAGCCATCTGCATCCACTGACTCTCTGCAATGTACTTGAGGTCGTCCTACACTACATTTGCTTGTATGGGGTCGTCATTAAAAAATCTTTCTTCTCCATCAGTTGTCGGTCCTTCGAGCTACCTTAACTAAATACATAGGAGATTTTATATATTGATTCACACGAGCAAAGCTGTGGGAAGGAATTATTTTATATTGGAAAGTATTTGGAATAGTAATATAGTATTACAATTTGTTTACATATAAATGTTAATAGGTCTGATATTGTAGCTGTAGAAATAGTCTCAACGGAGAATATTATTAAGTTACTAATTGGCTGGCCGACATAAGCTTGTTAAGGTAACACAGTATAATGAAACTATCTAGAACTATCTAGAACTTAGTTTGCATGTACAACATAATCAAATATCCTATATAGATAGGAATTAACACGATTGTTTTGGTAAACTATGATAATTTACCTGAGTTATCTCGATGTTTCGATTAACTTACACCATACGCGTATACGAGTAATAATGTGGGACAAAAATACTATCTTCTACCCACTCATTATACATCATCGTCAGCCATTATCTGTCCACTGCTGGACATAGTCCTCTCCCATAGATAGTCATAAGGAACAGTCCTGAGCCACCTACATTCAGTGACTGACAATGCATTTGAGGTCGTCACTCTATTTAGTGTGGGCTCGTTCTACACTGCGGTCGCCCGTACGGAGTCGCCATTCATCTTTTTCTCCATCTTCTTTACATCAACATAACCTTCAAGAAAAGAGCATATTCCTTTTTAAAAGGCCTGCAGCACACCTGCAATACCATAGGTGTTGTGGGTGACCATGGGCGGCGGTAGTCTCTTACCATCAGGTGAGCCGCATGCTCGTTTGCCCCGTGTTATAAAAAAAAAAAATCTTCTTTACAATTTCTTAATCTTTTTCCTCATCGATTGTCCGTTCTTCGAGCTATATGATCAGCGCATTGTCACTTCAGCTTGCTTATCCTTCGGGCTATGTCTTTTGTATTGTACAAGTTCACACTAATTGTGTTACTATACTGAGGGTAACCGTCTATTATCTAACTAGATAGTGTTGAATAGTAACCAGTGATAATAACAATATAAAGAGGAAAGATTAACTCAAAAACTTTTAAGGTAATTTTAAAATTCTTTCACCTATTGAAAGCTACATTATCAACGAATAAAATAGGCTTATATTATTTTCGAAAATTCTATCTACCTGTGCGAAGTCGGGTTCAATAGCTAGTTATAAACATATCAATACTCTTTATTGTTCCCTGCAAAAGATAACAATAGTAGTAACAGATTTTATACGGTATGAGTGTAACATAATACAAGTATAAGTTTAATATGTTTGAAGGGCATTGTTCAATACATTATAATAACATACTGTGTGGTTTTAAGTTTTAAAAGCAAAGTATAAAGCATACTCATAGATACTATTTTATTTAATAATTAGCTCTTTAATAGTTAGTTTAATTAGTTAGTAAATCTAACTAAAAATATTAAATTTGCAACTACAAGATATCTCTATTTGGGAGACGTTTAAGAAAAAAATAAGAAAGGTTAAAGGTTAAATAAGAGTGATAGAACTCAAAACAATAATGTGTTGATGATTTGAGTGTCTGTGTGTATGTTTTTTCGGCATCAAACAAAAGCTGCTATACCAAATTAATAAGATTTCTACAGATGAATTTCTGAAGGTTTAAGTTAAATTTGGTGTATGATTTAATTTGACGTGCCATCTAGAAAAGGTTTATTTCATTAGTTTACCTACTTCTGAAATCCACGCGTACAAAGCTTATAACATAGCTTTTAAATGCTTTCAACATAGCTTATCGGATGAAAGCTTTACGTGTTATAAACATGAAGAAAGTGACACTTATTTCCAACTTAGTTCACAAAAGTGAAAGGTTCTCAATTCGTTTATTTATAATATTAGTTACCTCATAACTCCGTCGATTATAAACCAATTTATAAAATTATTTTTTTATCAGAAAGGATATACTTTCAGATTGATCCCATAAACATTTTATCAATAATGGTCAAGTAATTTAGTTTCTTTCGGTTTTTTTGTGCTACAATCTTAAATTTTTAAATAATGAACGAATGAATGGTTTATTTCTCTTCACAAAAGGTAGTATAAAGTGACAACTTGAGGTACAATTTGATATGAAGACCAATTTTGCGAGAGACTGGTGCTTGCAGTGGGTTTTGAAGAACCTGTTTTAAATAATCTAAAATACGTAGAGATTTAGCCTCCCTCACTGTCTTCTACCGCCTATTTCATGGAGAGTACTCAATGATAACTCCGTTTCTTTATTCCACCTTCCCCATTTCGACGTCGTACCACGAGAATATATCAGCAACTACGTCCATATATAGCTGACGGCCCGCGCTTGCGTATAAATAAGTTTGCCAACTCTTACGTGAACTGTACTACAACGATGTAAAATGTCCTTTCCCTGGACGTGTCTCCTTTATTCTATAACCTTGGTTACTACTTCAAATGTAGTGTGAAAAAGTTCTTAGTAAGCCGGCATAGTGCATTCAACAGTTGAGACTTCTCTTTTTAATTTATCTTATTCATGGACCATATTATCTTTTTTTTTATACAATTTAGAATGGCAAACAAGCTGACGGCCCACCTGATGGAAAGTGGTAACCGTCACCTATAGACATGAGCAGTATCATGGATATAACAGAGTATACTGTTTCGCCCATAAAACCCCCCATGCGTCGCCATTTCTGAGGACTCAGGTGTTATTCCTCTGTAAATTCACGCCATATCCCACCCTTCAAACCGAAACACAGCTATGCAAATACAACTGCTTCACGGTTGAAACACGAATGGGACAGAGGTGCCCAAGCAATCGACTTTTGTACAAAGCCTCCCTCTGGTAAGTATTATGCAACTGAGCTGCCAATATTCAATAAATGAATTACAATAAATAAATATACATTCATTCAATAGAAACAACAGAAACAATAAAACAATATTAATAATTTCAATATTGGTATAGTTCCCAGAATTTAGTATTTGCAGCTAACAATATAATAACATCAGACCAATTTGGAGTGTTTGATGTTCGAAGATCAGATAAGTTCACGGTCGATTGCTTTTGTGTGAAAACAAACTTGAAACAATGTGCAGGGTGGTAGGTAGTTGGATGGATTACCCCTACCGCTTTGAAGGGCATCATGTTATCTCAGCACTTAAAAATAGATACTGCAAATAAAGAAATATTAATAAAATCTGTAAATCATATTTACCAGAGTACAGCATCTCTGTCTCGGGGGGAAAGGGATTGTTAGTAATGGAGACTGAGAATCCCATTGCTAGCAATATACCTAACCAGGTCGACCTCCACGCGGTTCCCCCTGGAAACTATCATGGTTAATTCCTGATGAATTCATCATGATGGGCTAACTGGCCTGTTTTCATTCTCATCTATCACCCTTCACTGGTGCTCCGCCTGCGTATACCATTAGCGCAGGCGGGGCTGCTATACCATTTTCACCCATAAAAAAAAGTACCTCTGTCTCATTCGTGTTTCAACCGTGAAACATTTGTGTTTGCATGGCTGTGTTTAAGGGTAGGATATGGTAGTGAATTTACAGGGTACAGAGGCATAACAACTCTAGTTCTCAGGAATACATGGGGGTATCATGGACAAAACAATATACTTTGTTACGTCCATGGTACTGCACATGTCTATAGGCGTCGTTTACCACTTTCCATCAGATGGGCCGTCGGCTTGTTTGCTGTACTGAGTTGCATAATAAAAAAATATATATTAGTTGAGCGCAATTGTTAACAAGTCTATTTGAATAAAATAATCTTTCAATCACATTTAAATCGTAATTTTTTTTTAAATCTATTGCAGGGTTCAAAAAGTTATTATCTGTTGAGAAGAACCCGCAAAAAACTCAACAATTACTTTTTTAAATCTCTGTTAATATATATGTACATACATTTTAAATACATGTATATTTAAGTGATGATTTATATGGTCATTAAAAAGTGTATGATCAATTGTCATTGCAAGCTTGTCATTCAAGGCTACAATCCTATAAGCTTTTAGAACTGAGGGTAGAATTGCATATCAAAGTTCCACACTCAAGATGCATTTATGTAACTTACCTATAGAACATTCAATATGAAAGTTATGTCCGACTTAAGTGAATTCGACTTGTAACTTGTGATGTACGCTGTTTAAACTCAGCTAGTTCCTCTTTAGTTTCTTAGTTTTGAAAGCAACCCACGTCCTTTGGCGCTTTGCGTATCCGAGGTGAGGTTAGTTATATACTTTATACCTACAAGTATGTATGTTTCTTTAGCTGGAGTATAAATATACTTCACAGACCTTAAATGTAGACCTTAGATTATATAGACAGAGTAGCCAGTGTTAGAACAGGTCATAATTTAATTCATAAACTGTCATTTAGCTAATTGAATTTTGACACGTTTTTTTTTCAAACCAAAATAACATGTGACTTTTTTCCATGTCGCAAGTAATTTGAAAAGGTTTCCCAATTTTTTTTAATTGAATTATGAATTGTTTTTTTCTGATATAATATAAATATAGAGATGTAAGTATTACATTTTATAATTACAATGGCGGCCATTTTTAACGATTTTAATATTAAAAACATATTTTAAATTGGGAAAAACGTAGAAAAAGAAGAAAGTTTTTTTTTTTAAATATATTAATTAAAATCAAAATTTCAATTTAACAGAATTGCTGTACTTTTAAATAATTACACTTTTTGGTATCACGATTTACGCACACAAGGATAAAAAAGTATACCAACAGCACACATCGGGCTCCCATTCCATTACTACCCATTAAAAAAGCTGTTAGAATAGGCGAATCCATCATCCCATTCTACATATAAAAAAAAAGTGCAGTACAAAGTTTCTGTGCTGTGCTTAGATTTTCTAAATCACAAAAGCACAATTCTATTTGCAGTGACTATTGTAGATCCAGACAACGTTGAAAGTCTAGCCATTGTCCATTACAGCTTTGTGTCACGCCTGATAAAACTAACTGGAGACGTCAGAACGCGTTACGGTGAACTCTATTTCGTTGTATCTCATACGGAAAACATGTTTTACTAAATAAATAGAGCAGCAGTTATCGAATTGTGGATTGTCCCCAACTTTTAGAATTAATTATACGACTGGCCGAATTCGTCTTCAACGCACTTTTACTGTGCCTCTTTTTAGAAATAATATTTCTTTAAATAACCCTATAGCGAATATGTGTTGATCATATAGTGACGCTCATCAAAATGACCTTGACATATTTGGACTCAGTTATTATCAATTTCGCAGACAATTGTATAAAATAATGTAATATTTGGAAATTTCTTATATAATTTTGTTTTGTTTTTTACTTAACTTTCTTTATGTTTCTTTTTATGTTTAATTTTTTTTTCACTAATAATTGCAACTGAATGGCTTTGTTGCAGTCGCATTTATTATTGGATCATGCTGTGTGCACATGTTGTGGCAAGTTTACCTGATCAATACATTAATGTACTTGCATATTATAATTTAAGTTTGTGTTTGTAAACTTCTGTTATGTGCGCCTAATAAATAAAATAAAAATGGGTCTTTAATAATACTAATTTGTGAGTGAAAGTTTCTAGAAGATAAGAGAAAGGAATAGAAATAAGAATAAGTGTGATGAGTAAAAAAAAATGCGTGAACGTAAAATCGTGTTCCAACCGTAAAGCAGCTGTTTGTATGGTTGTGTTTCGGTTTGAAGGGTGGGATATGGCGTGAATTTACTGGGTACAGAGGAATAACACCTGAGTTCTCAGGAATGGCAACGCATGGGGGGTATCATGGGCGAAACAGTATACTCTGTTATGTACATGGTACTGCTCATGTTTATAGGCGACGGTTACCACTTTCCATCAGGTGAGCCGTCAGCTTGTCTGCCATTCTAAGTTGTATAAAAAAAAATATAAAGAACGAGTGTGATTAGTACACTAACGCATTTAAAATATGGCGTAAAAATGTGTAAAGCGTTTGGAGGAAATAAATAATTTTATAAAGTTAAAATTCTTATGATTTTACATTCGCGACCTGCTACACTAATGTATTTTATTTATGAATTATATTTGTGATACCCGTACAATTAATGGGATCATTTAAGATGTTTAGACATGTGTATATTGCTCATCATCGTCATCAAATTGGCCTTTAACTGTCCGCTGCTGAATATAAGTCTCCTCCTTGGAGGGCTTTGCCAGTAATTGCTGTGCTTGGCAGGCGGATTGGTAACCGCAGATAGGCTTTAGATATGTTTTAAAAGAGACGCTGGTGTCCATCTCTTGCCCTCTCTTAATTGCCTCTTACGACACTCACAAGAAAGAAAGGGGTAGCCTAACTCTATGCTATAGTCTATAAATTCTATCAATCGGAAAAAGAATCTTCTATTCCCAACGTTTGGTTGCACTATGCCGGTTCACTAAGTGCTTTATTACGCTACGTTTGAAAGATTCGAGATTATAAGTCTTTTTTTTATGCCACTGAGGTAGCAAACAAGCATACTGCCCACCTGATGGTAAACGATTACCGTAGTTTCTGAACGCCTGCAATACCAGAGGTATTACGCGCGCGTTGCCGATCCTGATGAAACCTCTTTACCCCCCTTTGAAGAACCCCACGCTGTAGTCTCTTGGGAAAACCTCGGCAGGGAGCTCATTCCATAACCTGCTTCAAAGGAAAAAAGTCACGAGAGAGCACATTCGGTCAACGACATTTGATATACAACCAACATATATGTGTTGTTTTTGCTCACAACCCAAGTGGCAACAACAACATAGCACAATAATAATAATATAATTATTAAACATTTGACTGTTTAGATTTCTTTGCCTGCCAAGCGTGGCAACTATTTACAAAACCCCTCCACGGGGAGAACTAATGTTCAATAGTAGACAGTTAAATGCTGATATGGTAATGATAATGTTGTCTCTGTGTTAGCTCATAATGGTGTGGTCCTATGTCGTGATAAAATGAGAAAAATGTAATTTTAAATAATAAAAAACATATTTGATTTATTGTTCCCTTCTTCCGTTTAAAGTGGCGCTCCACCTTTACCCTTGTCACAGAAGAGAAGCAAACAACACCAGCATTTCTAAATACGCATCTAACACAATCAGCGCGGCAAACTTCCAAGTCGACTCTCGTTTAATTCCGCCAGAAACTTCCAGAGGGCTTTTCGTAATGATGACATTTCTACAACTTCGTCGCAAGAAGGTTCAAATCAAATTTAACTACATACAAGAGCGTAATGTTGTTTTGTTCTTTATAATGTGTATGTATATTTAATTTATATTAATTAGAAAATTCAGTGTCACAACACGCATGTGGTTTTTATTCGACCTCAAAAAGAATATGATTTTTAACTCGGTTGTGCTTTTTATAACTCTGATTCAATTATAAAGCGATTTGGAAAATTATTTTTTTATTTTTAAGATAGAAATTTTGAATCCCAAAGAGGGTTGACGACAAGCAGGCAGCCGGTCGTAAAACTAAAAGCTAAATATTTTTGTAATATGGATAAAAACATATTACGTTGACCCCAAATAATAATTGGGATAAAAGTAGGAAGATGATGATCTTTAAGATAGAAATTTTGTGCAAATCGGTTTAGCAGTTTAGTTTTTAAATCAAAATAGTTGATACTGTAGTCACCTATTTTGTGAAACACATTCTAGAAAGATTAAAACACACTACGGCTAGATTACGTGGAAATGGTGAGAGTGGCTATCATGTTGTCAGAAAATTTAATCTGAATTGTTAATAGGTTGAAAAAATACCTTTTGATAACTCGATATCATAGGATTCGAATCCGCATCTCTGCTATCCGAGCTGAGTACATTCCTAGTTACACGACAATCGAGTAAATTTTCAATCACTATTTTCAAATGTGTAATGTAATGAAATTAATTTAATAAAATGAGTGTATTTGCATTAACAGTCTTAAAATTATTAACATAAGCCACGAAGTGCTATTTTGGCACCTGTTTACTGCCTTTATTGTTCTAGTTGCCTTTATTGAAGTAGACATGCAAATATTTACATTTTATAAAAAAGCGAAAAATAAATTATGATTCAATTTTATGTCAAATAAATTATTGATTAACTACATTCGTCATATTTCCTAGTGTGTGCTGTGTATATATTTATATGTGTATGTATATGTAGTATATATTATTTGTTATATAAGTAGTCTAATAAACAATATGTATTTGATATTTCTGTGCATTATAAATATCATTACATAATATTATTATGTAATATTGTTATGTATTATAATATTATTATGTATATAATTATTATCATTACATACATATCATTTAATATACCTAAATGCACCTGTATCATATCAAATCGAAGTGGCAGTGAACCGTATGTATAACCTGAGTAAATGATAATTGATGGAGGAGGAAGGTGTGTGCGAGTGGCGACCCTGTATCAGCAAGCGCATTATGGGCGACCCCTGTGAGATAAAGTGACCACGTTAAGAGTGTTGCAGGACGTCTCTGGATGTAAATGGCGCAGGATTGTAATTTTGTGGCGTGATATGAAGGAGAGATAAGATATATCGCTAGCAATAGGGCTGTCAGATCCCTGTTATTAATAATCCCTTTCCCTTAAATTTAAAGTTATGCCTAATTAAAATTGTTCATTTTAAAATGTAACCTATTTTTCTTAACAAATAATTTTGCCTAGATAATACTATATTAAAAAAAATGTTGTCCATTGTTGCCTCTTTATCTGGCTTTTGTGTAATTAAGTTTTTATAATTAATCATTCATTTTGTTTGCGTACATATTTTTAATCTTTATAATCTGTATCATTCTTAGAATAAAGAGTTTTTATTCAATCATTCATTTAAATTAAAAAGTTTCCATATTTTTTTTATGATACGAGTACTTCGAATGGCAAATAAGTTGATAGCCCACCTGAATGAAAGTGGTAACAGCCGCTTGATATTTTTAGTCAGTTAGGTATGTAATTACACTAATTGCCTTTATCCTTAACTAGAATTCCGTGTAATACAAGCCAGAGAACAAATAACCTAAGGAAAAATTCCAGTTACAAAGACGGCTTCGATCTATCAATGTTCATTTCCTTAATCGAACCTCGACCGTTTTAACGCAACGGGAAAAATCTCAGGAAAATGTCGACTGTAATTAGGATTAGTTGTATATATATATATTTTTTTATACATATATAGTTAAAAGGGGTAGACAGGGAATCCAAATTACTAGTGGATTTGAATTGC